ATAAATATGTTGTATTTGAAATACAAATACAAGCAACAAACAATGTAACTATGTGCGATGTAAAACATGAATAATGTAGGAGGAATTGCCACAGAAGAAGTGTTCACTATATATTCTGTATAAGGAAAAAAAAACAAAGGGCCATAATTAGGTAAAAAATTATCCAATCACAAAACCCCGACAATATGCGCTAGGGCACTTGATGACAAATCTTCTGTAAAAGTTTGAACAAAATCCGTTGAGAAATGTAGGACTAGTTCAGCACAGAAGAATTTGTTCACTATATATTGATAATTCTGTATAAGGGAAAAAAACAAAGGGCTATAATTAGGTCAAATATTATCCAATCACAAAACCCCCACAATAAGCCCCAGGGCACTTGATAACAAAGATTCTGTGAAAGTTTGGTCAAAATCCATTGAGAAATGTAGCAGGAGTTGCGCACGGTAGAAATTGTTCACTATATATTCTGTATAAGGAAAAAAAACAAAGGGCCATAATTAGGTCAAATATTATCCAATTGCAAAACCCCAACAATAAGCCCCAGGGCACTTGATGACAAAGCTTCTGTGAAAGTTTGGTCAAAATCTGTTGAGAAATGTAGGAGGAGTTGCGCAAAGAAGAAATTGTTCACTATATATTCTATATCAGAAAAAAAAACAAAGGGCCATAATTAGGTCAAATATTATCCAATTGCAAAACCCCCACAATATGCCCCAGGGCACTTGATGACAAAGCTTCTGTGAAAGTTTGGTCAAAATCTGTTGAGAAATGTAGGAGGAGTTGCGCAAAGAAGAAATTGTTCACTATATATTCTATATAAGGAAAAAAAACAAAGGGCCATAATTAGGTCAAATATTATCCAATTGCAAAACCCCGACAATATGCACCAGGGCACTTGATGACAAAGCTTCTGTGAAAGTTTGGTCAAAATCCTTTGAGAAATGTAGAAGGAGTTGCGCACAGAAGAAATTGTTTACGCCCGCCCGCCCATCGACATACCTCAACTAATAACCAGTTTTTTCCTTCGGAAAGCCTGGTTAAAAATGAGTTGCCGTAATTGGGGTTTGAACTCCAGACCTTCCTAAGCGAGCGCGCAAACCCCTCGGCCAAGGTGAATTTATATATGAACGGCCTGAAGAAAACCATATTATTCTATTTAGGGTTTGTAACGACGCTAACTGTTGTTTAACACTTGTGTAAATAATCATGGCGCTTACTATAAGCATGTATATTTATAAAGAATAAAACAATATTAGAAATCTTCGACTATTCGGGAATTATTTTGCTTGAAAATTAATCCGCCTGTCATGTGACCATATTTACGCAGTGATCTCCCCTAAATTTTTCGGCCTAAGTGTTACATATAAAGGGAAGTAACCGCTTCAAAAAAGCGGACTACTTTCGGCACTTGCAATTAACAGCATTAGAGTCTGAAATTTCGCTACCATTATTTGTTTGGTCTGACGACCCAAACAAATAAAAACGGAATGAATAGGATCAAAGAGAATGTACTGTTCCCCATTGTTCTCCAAGTCACACAAGTACCTCTGGGTTCGTATGGACAGACAGACGGACAGAGCCCATTTCTATATCCCACTTTTTCTCCGAAAAGGCGGGGGACAATAAGACATGGTACCTCGGGCAAATTTTGTTTCTGTCTTGTATTTCAGCCAATATACCAGTATATTTAACAAGTATTTGAACATATTCTCTGATCAAGTTTAGTTTCAAGAAAGTATATTAATGATGACTTCATTATCAAACTAGCTTCATATTAGTCATATTTAGTACTATTGATATTGAACAACCAGAACTGATATCTTTTATTAAACACACAGTCACCTCCATGATAGGACTTGTATCATACTTTGGAGACCTTTCTGTTGAAACTGTGTCAGGGTTAAATCGTATACATATACATGCACAGTGCGTTAACTGGAGTGCGGGTATTAGTTACCCGCACTCCAGAGCATGCCCATTGATTGGCTCATTTTTGCTGGGGTTTACATATTGTGACGGCAGTGAAAGTGAAATCGACAGAAATGTCATATTAAGATGCTCGTTCATTGGTTCATTTTTGCCGGGGTTTCATATTGTAACAACAGGGAACGTGTTTTTATGTTTGACTATGATACAAAAGAGAAAGAACACCAAAACACTCGGTAATCTGATTAATACTCGGGGGGCTACGCCCCCTCGTACAAATCAGATAACCTCGTGTTTCGGTGCTCTTTCTATTACTTGAACTTACAATCGTGAAAGGCAGGTACCATTACCATAACCCTAAAAATGCCCTCTGGTCTTCTTACCACCACAAAACTGATGAATTAACTTGTTTTCACTACAAAACACGGCTTCAGCAACTAATTTCTGCTTCTGAAAAATTGTTTTTTTTTCAAAATGAACAAATGAACTGTATAGTTAGAAAGTCAATTTACCTATCATTGCATAAAAGGATAAACAAAAACTCGAAACCAAAAAGTTAAGAATCACTAATTTATTTATATTTTGATAATCCATTTCAACAAAAAGATCATACAAGTCTTGTCATGATTCTAAAATGTTGGAATAACACAAATATTCATACATATATACATACACTAACATTCATCATATTACATTGCTCATGTACAACAGTCATAACTAATATACTTAAACTTCAGAAAAAAAGAGCTGGCAAAGTCATGGGGGACATCTCTTTATAGCTTTATTTTAAAGTAATTTTATACTCTTTTAATGAATACCAAAGAGTAGGCTAGATTTTTCCCATGCTTGCATTGTTTCCTTCTTTCAATGACAATCTTTTACAATGTTTGACAAATATATTAGGACTTTCTTTTCCAATAATGTTTGACAAATATATTTCCATTAGTGTGATAACGAACATTTAACTTCTGTTCATATTTTAGCCATCTAAATTTAGTCTAGTCAGATTAACTAAGTATGGGCCGGACAGCCAGATCAACTCAGTGGACTTGCAGATCGGCACGGAGTGGGTGGAGTGTTAAAAAAGATTTCTCCTGGACAGAGGAGGTTGAGGATAAAGCAGCACGCCTTGGACGGCACCACATCAAGAAATATGTTGGAAGTTATGAAGAAATACAGACAATGAACCTTTTATAGCTACTCTTTAGCTTAAATATATTTTGTAAAGCATGTAAAAGAGTGTCATGATTTTTAAAATCAAGAATAGATGACCATAATCCCTATCTTATATCTAAGTTTATATTTCTAAGACAGATGACAGAGGCTAGCCAATAAAATGAACACAATAGCTTACAAAATGCAAGGTGCACTAGCATTCAATATTGAGCATATGTGAAGAATACACAAATAATGTACACATATGTACAATATGCTGAACACATATGTACAATATACAAGGTGCAATAGTGACCTATATTGAGCACATATATGCAATATGCAAAGTGTACTTGCAACCAATATTAAACATATATGTACATGTACATATGCACAAGAAACCAATATTGTGCACATTTGTACAATATGCAAGATGCACTTGCAACTACACATGTATACATAAACAATATGCACTAGTGACCAACTATTGTGCATATATGTGTAAAATGCCAGGTGCCTTAGCAACCAATATTGTACACATATATACAATATGCAAGAAGGCAAACCCATTATGTGCATTTAACTACAAAATGCACTTGCAAATCCATATTGCCAATGTATTTTTGTTATCATACAAATATAAAGGGTGCACTTTTTAAAATTTATTTTTTTGGAAAAAATTAAAAATTTTATTTCCTAAAATTTTTTTTTCCACATTTTTAAAATCGGGGTAAAAATTGAAAACTAAAAAATAAATAAAAAATGAACAGCTAAAAAATAAAATTGAATTGATATGGCAATGATAATTTTAAATTGTGTTTCTAGCACCAGATATAAATGGGATATAAATCAGCTGAAAAATAAAGATATAAATATCATGTCAAAGTATAAAATCAAGTTAAAATATTCAGGAAATTAAAAAAAGTTTTAAGTCACTAATGAGCATCTATATATAGAACTAACCCGTATTACTTATATACCTATTATTTTCGTTTTCATGTATTTCCTAAAGAAAATAGTATAAAACAATCTACTACCATACCGTAAGATACAATAACCAGTTACCTACACAACAATAAATCAACATCAAACTGTTGTTATAAGTTCATTTATTTCTGAACTATAAATGAACTTTTTTATACCCAATTTTTGTATCTTAACAAAGAGGGGAGGGGGGGGTAACTCAAAATAAAATTATAGGACTACTTTTTTAAAGGGGAAAAAAGTTTCTTTCAAAATCCATCTAAAAATTTTTGAAAATTAAAAAATTAAAATTTTGTATTTTAAAAAAAATTAATAACCCCCCTTTACTGGTTTCCCTTTAACTGTTTGGGATAAAAAATGCGTCCCAAAATTTTTTTTTTCTAAAAAATTTTGAACCCTTTCTACTTTTCCCTTTTTTTAAAAATTTCAAAAGTAAACCCCCCCTGTTTTGAATCGAACACACTTTTTTTTTGAAGTAAAAAAAAAAAAAAAACCACTTTTAGGAAAATTTAACCCCCGGTTAATTTAATGGGTTTCAGTTTTTAATTTTTGGTTTAACTTTTTAAATTATTAAAAGACCCTGGGGAATAACCTTTTTCTGCACATGCCCAAAAAAATTTAAAAGCCCCTTAATGGTTTTTTTTAGTTTGGTTTCTTTTTACATCTTCTCTATGTTATCTCAGCAGACAAACGTAACATATTTTAATGATAAAAAGTATATTTAAATTTTGTTCAAACAGTATTTCGTCCTGGTCTTTTAAAAAGAAATGCAAATTAAAAATCATTTAAGGAAATGGGTCATGTCTGATTTTTTGTGTTAAAGTAGCCTTTACATGCATTAAGAGCCCAAAAACAGTTGGGGATAATTCCATTCTTTTTTATGGTTTTAAATACAGCGAAAAAACATCATATATTGTCCAGTAATACGATAATCCCTGTAGAAACTTGACTAAAACAATGTGATAAAGATGTAAAATAACTACTATAATATCAAAATGACTCTTGTAAAGACTATACTTATTTATCCTCTAAAAATGCCTATAAATAAAATTTAAAACATATCTAAAATTTGTAAGACTATGAAATCTAAACAAAATTCATACAAAAACAAACTTTATTTAGTCCTCATAATTAGAACACATTATAAAGTACTACATAGCTACAACATGTACCTATATAAATAAAAAAATCATTTAAAACACAGTATTATTTTTCAAAACATGTTTCATATTGCCTCATGTGTCAACTAAATGCAGTATTATATACATGTATATAAATATAGTCCATACTGGACTATTTGTGTGTCCTTAAAACAGCATTATCTGTATGAAACATGTTCCTTTTTGATTTATGTTTCCTTTATAATATACACAAAAAGATGTGTCAATTAAAATGCAGCATTGTCACTATGAAACATGTTCCATATCATGTGTCAATGAATCCAGAATCAATAATATTAAACCAGTTCCATATAAAATAATGTGTCTACTGAGTACACTGTCATTTATTTTTGATATAAATTATATGAAACATGTTCTATACAGAATTATGTTTCCACTGAATATAATAACTTATATCAAACAATCATGTATCCACTGAATGCATTGTCATTTATTTCAAACATGTTCCATATAAAATAATGTGTCCACTGATAACATCATTTTAAATATAAAACATATTCCATAAAGAATAACATAATATCCACTGATACTTCAAACGTCTTCCATATAGAATTATGACTTTACCGAGTACACTATTTTTATCATGAAAGACATTCCTTCAAAAATTAAGTGTCTACTGAATAAGGTATTTCTAATTTCAATGAAACATTTACCACATTAACACATGTCTATTGAAAACAGAAGATGTATCCTAACATAACCATCAAATCATTCTAAAGTTAATCACTTCACAAAGAAATGTGCTAAGTGGTATGTGTTTTAATACAAAATATACATGACAGTGCCATGTATCTATTCACAATACCCTGAGACATTAACTGATCAATGTCTAATAATCTACTACAATAATCAACTATATACAAAAATATCAATCAATAATTTACTAGCAAATCATTTGTAGAAACTAGAACTGCCACAGTCATGGCGTGAATACCCCTGCATTCCACTTTGTCAGAATCAACAGTGGCCATTTAGAGCTCAAGGACAACCTCCCCGCAAATCTGAGGTTACTAACATTGTTAAGTTATGTATTCTACATGCTTCAAATGTGAAAATGTCAAAATCAATACACTGCGGACAGGCATTCTTAAGCATTTGAGCAGACAAGCTTATTATAGTAAAATCCCAGTGACCTTGACATTTGACCCAGTGACTTCAAAAACAATAGGGGTCACCTAATGGTCACTATCAACCACCATGCCAAATATGAAGACTGTGGGTCAAAGGTTTCTTAAGTTATTGGGCGTACAAACTTTTTGAAGTCAAAGTCCCAGTGACCTTGACCTTTGACCTCAAAATCAATAGGGGTTAGCTTCTAATCATGACTAACCTCCATGCCAAATATGAAGACTTCTGGTCAAAGGAACCTTAAGTTTTTGGGCAGACAAGCTTTTTGAAGTCAAGGCCTGTGACCTTTGACCCTGTGACCTCAAAATCTAAAGGGATCATCTACTAAACATAACAAATCTAAATACCAAATATGAAGACTGAGGGTCAAAGGAATCTTAAGTTATTGGGGGACAATTTTTTTGAAGTCAAAGCCCCTGTGACCTTGACCTTTGACCCAGTGACTTCTAAATCAGTAGGGATCGTCTATTAACCATGATTAATCTAAATACCAAATATAAAGACTGTGGGTCAAAGGAATCTTAAGTTATTGGGCAGACAAGCTTTTTGTAGTCAAGGCCCCTGTGACCTTGACCTTTGACCTCAAAATCAATAGGGATCATCTACTATTCATGACCAATCTAAATACCAAATATGAAGACTGTGGGTCAAAGGAATCTTAAGTTATTGGGCGGACAAGGAAAAACAGACAGACTGCGGGACGGCCAGACGGACAAGCTGATTCCAGTATACCCCCATTACAACTTCGTTGTGCCGGGGTATAAAAAATATCAAAACAAGAATACAACAGTATAATTGGAATGTCGCCTGCGACTACATGTTTCAATGCTGGAGACAATTTTCAAGTCATGTTTATAATGAAAAACTTATTGCTGATTCAAACAAAATGAAAATATTTTAAACAAAAAATGAGAATAAGCAACATCCATGCATAAATCTGATGTGAGAATCTGAAGTAATTAAATACATTGATCAAGTTAGATTAGGAGCCATATTTACAATTTCTGGACCATCATAAACTAGTAAAAAAATCTTTATACTTTCTAGGATTCTCAATGTGAATTTTTTCTGTCAATAAATGCTAACTTCTGTAAATGAATCTTTCTAAATGAGTGCAAATAGCAAATCATATCATGAATTAAAAGGTTTCGTTTTTTAATAGCTGCCTTAAAAGGACATATTTCAGATTTAAATTAAAACAAGATTGCATTTGAGAAAAATGCTATGCCACCGCATTAATACAACACTAAGCCTTGTACCTTCAGACAATAAGATTTTTTGATATTTTTACTATATGTATATATTGAAAATCAATGACCCCAGGGGCAAAGGCAATTTTGACCCCAGGGCTATAATTTGTACAATCTTGCTAGAGGTTCACTACATAATGTTTCATGCAAAATATCTAACCTCTAGCATTTGTCAACTGCTAGAAGAAATTTTTTGAAAGTTTTTACTACATGTATAAGTATTTACTATATACATGTAAGGAAAACCAATGACCCCAGGGGCGGGGCCGATTTTGACCCCAGGGCTATAATTTGAATAATCTGGGTAGATGTCTACCAGACAATGCCTTATGCAAAATATCTTAGCTCTAGGCCTTTTGGGTCTTTACAAGAAGGTTTTAAGTTTTTACTATATGTACATATAGTGAAAATCAATGACCCCCGGGGCTGGGCAGATTTTGACCCCAGGGCTATCATTTTAACAATCTTAATAAGGGTCTACCAGACAATGCCTTATGCAAAATATCTAAGCTCTAGGCCTTTTGGGTCTTTACATGAAGGTATTTTAAGGTTTTGCTATATGTACATATAGTGAAAATCAATGACCCCCGGGGCGGGGCCGATTTTGACCCTAGAGCTATAATTTGAACAATCTTGGTAGAGGTCTACCAGACAATGCCTTATGCAAAATATCTAAGCTCTAGGCCTTTTGGGTCTTTACAAGAAGATTTTTTAAATTTATTCTTATAATTCCTTTTGGCAACCAGATTTCTGTATGGAATGAAATTCTTTGAACAACTTTGGAAGCCCTTCACCCAAGAATCAATCCTGCCAAGTTTGGTTGAAATTGGACTAGTGGTTTTTCACAAGAAGATTTTTTAAGTTCACTAGATAATCTATAGAACACACACACACAAACACAGAGGTGAATCGCTATATGCCACGGTGCTGCGGTGGCATAAAAATTTCACCCCCCCCCCCCAAAAAAGCGACCTAAATTTTTTTTATTTTGTTGATTTGTCTTAATTACTTCTATTTTCTGAAGATGAACACAAAATTTCTTTCCTAACTTGAAAGATGCTTCAATTTACATGAATGATAAAATGAATTGGACAAATGAAAATGTAAGCCAATTAATAGTTCTTGTTGAAAATCTGTATGTATGAAATACATGTTCAAGAAATTGAAACATCATAAATCAGACCACATCTTACATTACAGAACTTTGTGGAAAATGCCCATATCAGCACACAAAGTATATCAACACAGGTATTAGGAAATATTAATACCTTGAGTTCAATGCAACATATAAATATAGCAAATCCTATATAAATCTTTAACTGACTAACACAAACAAAAGTAGAATATCAAATCTCAATTATCAGGCTTTTCTTGTTTTATAGGCATGTTTGGGTTAAACCCATTTGGTTGTTGTCCTTCCATGGGGTACTGGCCTGGAAATCCATTGTTTGCTGCGTGCTGTGGAAAGTTCTGTGTGTTTCCATTTGGAGGCATCCCCATGAATTGATCCCCACTGTTCATGAGCTGTGTAAAACTATGCTGAGGTGGCTGCATATAATTAAAACCCATGTGTGGGTTAAACTGTCCTTGCATTTGAGACATGTACGCATTACTGTAACCTGATACAGGCATGTTTTGATGGGGCAAGTGATTAGTGAATGGGGGCACTGGCTGATATGACTGGAATGAATTCTGTTGATTTCCTGATGGTGATGAAGATTGGGGATTATAATGCTGCTCTGGGGGTGGTATGAAAGTGGCAGTTTGAGACATGGCAGGAGATTCTTCAGCAGATTTTGATTTTCTCTTTCTTGACTTACTGGCTTTTGCTCCTTTTCCCTGAGATTGTTGACTAGTTGGAGGTTTCTCTAACACTTCTAAACTTGCACAACCTTCAAGATCTTCTGAGCTTCCTTCACGAACAATGTCACGTAATGCATCGTTAAACTGTACTGGTCCATTTGTAGATATATTAGCATGACTCACAACACCATATCTTGAATCTGCTGGGTTGTTTACAGCAACTTGGTTAACCATACCATATAAACCATTTAAGAAATTATTTAAATGGCTATCATTTTGTGATGTCACTTGTGACTGATTATAAACTTCCAACTGACCAATAGAAATAGTTTCTGGCTGACTGCTTGTTGTCTGACAAGTTGTTGCAGGACAGTCAAAATCCACTGGTTCCTTTTTCACTTGTACAGGCTGTACTGGAGAAGAGACTCCAGAACTGGAACCAGCATTTGGCATGCACATTGGACTAGACTGATTTGATATTTCCTGAGATGAACTTGTGCCTGGAACACTGTGTGGTATAACTTGATAAGGACCAGCCATAAACTGAGCTAAGTGCTGGTCCACTGCAAATGCTGTATTTCCCATATTATCTGGCATCTGTTTACCAGGAGGCAAGGTTGTCATATCACCTGGGATCTGGTTCCCAGCAGGCATGGTTCCCATCTCTCCTGGATATAGATTTTCTCCCTCCTCTTTAACTTCTTTCTTAACCGCAGTTTTTAGGACAACATCTTGAAATGTTATTTCAGATTCATTGAGATCTGGCAGCTTGCCATTCAAATGATCCCTAAATTTTTTTAGAGCCTCATAGAAAGGTACTTTGTCAACAGCTCTAGGCAGCTGACTGCATCTTGCACTGGATGATGGCATCACATAGACAGCCTAGAAATATAACAGACAATCATTTTTTTTCCAGATATCTTCAAAAGCCTTCAATTATGAAAATAAACTATAATAAAATAACATTGTACATGTTTAACACTTAATGCCATATCAAATACTAAACTAACTTGAAGTAAAACTTACCTGAAACTTTCCTGAGTAATAATGTAAAGCTAAGATTACTACATTATTATACTGACCCGAGTAATCAAGTAAAGATAAATAAATCTTATCTCACTAGTTCGGTAGTAATTTCAACACACAGGAAAATTAAAAAAATATGTTAGACCAAATTTACCATTATGATTTTTTATACAAAGTTATATTGTAAATCACATAACAAATACAGCAATAATTAGATGTAGCTACAAAATGGCTGTTATTCTTTGTTTCTACCATAAAGAAGAAAGTGAAAACCTTTTGAAAATGCATAATTTTAAAATTTTGCATGTAGAATGATAAGTATGATATTTATATTTTGATCTTTGTTTTTAAATTATATGAGAGCATATCTCACAGTTAGTATATCACAACTATTAATCTTTACTTTGTACCTTCACATACAAGAATAATTTAAATGTATACAAATAAAAGAAAATTAGAGCAAAATGGACCCAATTCTTCTAGAAATACCAATAGTTCTTTTTCTTCTTAAAAAATATTGGGGGCTGTCATTTCAAGAGACCTTACTTCAATGAAAATTCATCTGCAAAATGTAAAGTAACCCATTAAGGCTAACTGGTGACTAAAATAAACATGATCATAAGCCAGTGCAATGGTAAGATTTCCCATTTTTAGAAACCTAGTCATGCACTTTAAGTCAAACCAGATGACTTCTTACTGAGTGTGTTAAATACACCAGTGTAGATAGTGGAAACCAAATACTGTCTCATCATAAGTAGAAATAAAACTGAAGACCTTCAAATTAAGAATTTGGTATTCTACCCTTACAACACACTTCCTTCTGATAGAACCAATGACTAAAAGATCAATATTTGAAGAACTTACTGTTTCAGTTCCTGTCAAGAGATCTGGCTGTTTCCCAAAATGGAAGTTCTTATGACCCACAAACACCTCATAAATACCTGAAATAATACAAGAACAAGTCAGTATATTTAACAAGAGCACCCCATCATATGTTAAGGCTTGTCTGTTAAAATAACTACATATGGTTAAAAAAACGGGCAAAAATATAGCTTTTAGAACTGATCACTTAAAAACAATTCATGAAAGAAATGTAAAATTTTCTACATAATTCCTTTTGATTAAATTTAGCCTTTGCCTTCAACATTTTTATCGCATTTAAAGTTTAAGTGTTACTTCCAAGTGCAAGTTCAAATAAAGTTGGTTCCAGGAATGGATTTGAAAGTGTGTCTATATGTTTTAAGCTTCCTACACAACCAAACTAAAATAAATTCTACATATAATCTAAAAAATCATTCTCATGAAAGAAGTAAATAAGTACTACCATATATCCCTATCAAGTTTCTGTAGAATAAAGGTTACCTTTCCCATTGAAGACTGCTATTTTTGGCTTATACTTGACTAGTTTCTCTGTCAATATCTGTGCTCCTTCTTTAATTTCTTTCCTGTAATAACAGAAATCATACTCCTCACAAAATCTTTATCTGGCAATATGAATTCTAAGGTCTATTGTGTGAGCAAATTTCTGCATGTCCTGTCGGCTAAGCATACTACTTGCCCCGCCTCAATCCCTACTTGTAAATATGAGCGGACAAGTGTATTTTTCGATCGCTGAATCATAACTTTTGAGTCTGTTTCTTGGAACAGTCACAGGATGATAAATGGCTGTGACACAAGTAGGGCTTGAACCCTTTAAGCCTTGGTTTGGAAAAAGTAACTTTAATACAAGGCCACTTTTTTCATCATATCTATCATGTGCATCCATATCAACTTATCAAGAGGGTATTTAATTTTTGGTCTGTATGTCACAAAACATTGACCATAATAAAGAAGTCCTATGTACAGCCTCCAAACTTCAAAGGTGCATATACTAGGTATAATTATTATTATATACCTTGATGAGCTCTACTGCAAGACTCAATAAGAAGAAACAGGGTCACCAGGATCAAGGCATGTTTTTAATTTGAACATATACACATCAGTTTATTGGCTTATCAGATATAAAGGCTATTGAAAGTTTGTATATGATATATCCTACCTTGTTAGGTCAGCACTACCTCTAGTTGTCCTGGCAACAATGTTTGTAAAACCAATACCATAATCTAGTAACTTGAAATCTTGCATAGCATTCATTGGCTCAGGTATGAGACCAGATAAATACATACACTTCCCTGAAAGAAAGGAAAAATTGTGATAAAGATCTGATATATATATATATTACTTTCTTGGCCATTTTAGAAACAAGTCTGGATGTGCCCAATGAGGAAATATTCTACTCATTAAATTATGTTTACTAAGATATTAAGTGACCAATAAAAATTGTGACTTTAAAATGATATTTACAAAATGTTGGAAGGAAAAGGAATTAATGCCATTTGGAACACATGTTTTTTACCAGGCCCATCGAAAGAATGGACACTTCCTAACTTTACTGGTGGAATTATAAACATTATGTTCTATTGAATAAGCAGTTGTTGATGAGGTGAGTCTGATTTCATATGTCAGAACCACATAATGTTTTTTCAAGCACTATTGTATTGAGCTTTCTATAAAAAATACAAAAACACCCATCAGTTCAAACCTACTGTTACAAGACAGTGGCTGTCAAAACTGTAAACAACCACCTCACCACTGATCATTGCACTAGAGCTTATAGAATATGTTTGTACTGCTGAAGTGATATGAAATTTATCCCATTAACCACTTCTAAATTAAACACAAGTTATATCAATACACTTTATCCTTCTTTCATTGACTTACAGAAATGATTTCCTGGTCCCGCATAATGATGTCCAACAAAGGCTGCATATAGTCCTGGGTTTATACCAACCTATAATTAAAATAATTCTTTATGCACACAGTTATGATTGTATTAATGATCAAGTGATGAAAAAGGTATAACAAGAAATATGTCCACAGGACACAGATGCCACCACTTTTCACTGTTTTGTCAATTGGATGGACATGCAGTGTGATCACCTTTTCAGTCACATACAATTTAAAAATTATAGATAAATTGTTTCACTCACTGGTTTGACATCAAGCTAGACAAACAAGGATTTTAAATGTATCTTTCAGACTAAAGAATTTTTTTCTGTCACATTGCCTTACCAAGATATGGACATAAGTTTGTAAGTTTGAAAACTATTATGCCAATATCAAGGTAAAGATGATTTTTTTTGTCTACTTGCAATGATGATATCAATGTTAATAAGACTTAACTTATAACAACAATATCAATGTAAGAATCAAACATTTTTCTCTACTCACAATGACATTATCAGATTACAAGATTTTGTATACAAAAACTTTATCAGGTTAGAAGGTTTCACTTACAATGACAATATCAAGGTTAGGAGCTAGATGATCTGGCAGTAATCTTGTTATCACTTCCTCCTCGGGCATGCCCTTGAACCTGTCAACCTTTCTCTTCTTCTTCACTGTCACATGATCTGTTATCTTCTCTTGTTTCAACTTCTTAGGTCGACCAGCTTTCTTCTTTGGTGAATTCCCTGTAGTGCTGCAAACATACAGAATAAGGTCTAGTTTATGTGGTGAATTACAGGTTTAATAATTAAAAAAAAAAAAACGAATCATTTCTTAAAGGCAAATTAATGTAAATTGTTTGTTTGTTTTTTATTTTACGCCTTTTCCCAAACAGTATTTCAGTCATATAGGCGGGTAGTTTCCTAACCATCGTTCCTGGAGAGCTACATCAGTACTAGACTACCTTCCTCTGCGCTAAACTACCAAATCATCTCCCGGGGATCGAACCCACGCCAGAGAGGTAACTGGATTAGAAGTCATCGACTCTAACCCCTCGACCACGGAGGTGGAAATTAATGTAAAAAATATTACAATGATCTGATGTACTCAAGTCCCAGCATGATTTTCGGTACACATTCTATATATTTTGGGTTTGAAGAATAAATACATCTACATATTTTGAATGAAATTTAGGCATCGACAAAATTACAGAGAAGGTTAAAAACAAGTCAGGTAATTTAAACAACCCCTGGAATGGACAATAACATATATTGCGGATATTTTATTATTAAAACAAGTCTAAGTCATTCATTTCAGATGTTCCTTAATGTTTCCAAAGTTCACTGTGACAACTATTGTGAAATCATAACACTCTAACCTGACCCACGTGGGTCAAGTTAAGAAACCACCATTTTATTCATAATAAGGAGAAAAGTTTTGTTGCTGTGACTGCCTAGTGTATTTATTTTGAGGACATTTACAGAATAATGAATAAAAAATTCAAAATGAAGAAATGAAAAATTTGCCAGTATCTCCCATTAAAGAAGGGAGTTAAATGCTTTCAAGAAAAGAACCTATAAGAAAAAGAAATTACCTAAAGGACTTGAGGAAGTTTGGAAAATTCCCCAAAACTACATGAAGGCATAATAAAACCTACATTACCAATTTCACTTCATATACTTTGACAAAGAATTTATAAGACATTCTTAATATTAATATGCAATCTCAACAAACAATTTAAAAGCCTATCATTACTTTGAGAACATGAATTATGTACAAAGATGGGTCATTATGTAATACACTTTCCATGACTGTAAATGTTTACTGAAACACAATTTTATAAAGAAAATCCCTTTAACCTTTTAACCACTCTCATAATTAATGCTATTCTTAAATATCAATCTAAAGGTACCATCTTTTGCTTGTTGTAACTTACTAAAAAGAACAGAAAAAAAATACAGTAGAACTTTGGTAAGTCGAAGTTGAAGGGACTTGCGTAAAAAGTTTGACACATCAGGACTTCCACTCAATTTAATGACAAAATTTCGAGCCATTGGCATTTACAAGCAAGTTACAAAACAGGGCATTTTTTGTCAAAATTGTGAAGGGGCCTGGACCTTTCATTTTGTGAAAAAACTAGAAATGTGTCCATAGGACACGGGTGCCCCCACCGTGCCACTGTTCTGTCAATCTTATGACTCTAGGTCAAATATTTTTGGAAAACTAAAAATCTTTTTACTAAGTAAAGGGCAAGAACTTTACAAATACTGAATCAATCCTCAAACAAACCCCAAGTTGAAAATTTATACTACTGTAAGTCAAGGGCAATAACTAACAAAACTGAAAAAAATCCACATGCAAAGTCCCAGGTAAAATGAGTCATAGCTTCACAGTGATGTGAATCATTATTCCTGTAATTTAGTGATGTTGATCATTATTCCTGTAAAGTTGGTCGATTCTAACTCAAGCACTCAAGGAACAAATAACAACATAATGAAACAGTTTTTACTAAGTCAAGGTAAACTAGAACTATCACTAAATGTGATTAATACCCCCACAAGTCTGCTTCGGAAATGAGGATGTTACTAGTAACAGAATACCTTGTAATAGAATTGAAACATAGAGTTATGGTTGTGGGCAATTAAAGATTATTGTGGTTCATGTATGTTGCATTTCCTTTCAATGTGGTTGGCCATTGATGAAGTTTAATTGAATTACTCTGTAATAAGTCCAGAAAGACAAAGAAAAAGAACAAAGGGCAATAACCCTATAAATACTGAAGATAGAGTTATAGTTCTTGTGCACTGCACTTCCTCTTATTGTGCTTGACCATTGTATGAAGTTGTTTTGAATTCAAACCAGTACGTTTTAAGTTATGCTCCGGACAAGGAAAAGTATCAAAGGGCAGTAACTCTGTATTTTGTCAAAATGGAGTTATGGCTCTTGTGCACTGCACTTCCTTTTAATGTCCTTGACAACTGTATGAAGTTGTACTGAATTCCAAACAGTAGTTTTCAAGTTATGCTCTGGACAAGGAAAAGTAACAAAGGGCAATTACTCTGTAATTAGTCAAGATGGAGTTATGGTTCTTGTGCACTGCACTTCCCCTTATTGTGCTTGACCATTGTATGAAGTTGTTTTGAATTCCAAACAGTAGTTTTCAAGTCATGCTCTGGACAAGGAAAAGTAACAAAGGGCAGTAACTCTGTAATTAGTCAAGATGGAGTTATGGTTCTTATGCACTGCACTTCCTCTCAATGTGCTTGACCATTGTATGAAGTTATAATGAATTCCAACAATAAGTCTTCAAGTTATGGTCCGGACAAAAGAAAGCAAATGGAAAAGTAACAAAGGGCAATAACTCTGTAATTAGTCAAGATGGAGTTATGGTTCTTGTGCACTGCACTTCCCCTTATTGTGCTTGGCCATTGTATGAAGTTGTTTTGAATTCCAACCAGTAGTTTTAAAGTCATGCTCTGGACAAGGAAAAGAAACAAAGGGCAGAAACTCTGTAATAAGTCAAAATGGAGTTATGGTTCTTGTGCACTGCACTTCCTCTCAATGTGCTGGACCATTGTATGAAGTTATAATGAATTGCAACAATTAGTCTTCAAGTTATGGTCCAGACAAAAGAAAGCAATGGAAAAGTAATAAAGGGCAATAACTCTGTAATTACTTTAGATAGAGTTATGGTTCTTATGCACTGCACTTCCTCTCAATGTGCTTGACCATTGTATGTAGTTTTATTGAATTCCAACCATAAGTCTTCAAGTTATGGTCCGGACAAAAAAAAGAAGGCAATGGAAAAGCAACAAAGGGCAATAACTCTGTAATTACTTTAGATAGAGTTATGGTTCTTGTGCACTGCACTTCCCCGAATTGTGTTTGACAATTGTATGAAGTTGTTTTGAATTCCAACCAGTAGTTTTCAAGTTATGCCACGGACAAGGAAAAGTAACAAAGGGCAATAACTCTGTAATTAGTCAAGATAGAGTTATGTTTCTTACGCACTGCACTTCCTCTCAATGTGCTTGACCATTGTATGTAGTTATATTGAATTCCAACCATTAGTCTTCAAGTTATGCTCCGGACAAGGAAAATGCAACGGACAAAAAAAAAAAGCAATGGAAAAGCAACAAAGGGCAATAACTCTGTAATTAGTCAAGATAGAGTTATGGTTCTTGTGCACTGCACTTCCTCTCAATGTGCTTGACCATTGTATGTAGTTATATTGAATTCCAACCATTAGTTTTCAAGTTATGCTCCGGACAAGGAAAATGCAACGGACGTCTGGACCGACCGACCGACCACCGGGTGACTCCTATATACCCCCCCAAACTTCGTTTTTGGGGGTATAATAACTCAACAAATACTGGATAAATCCACAAGCGAAACCCCAGGAGCAAAACTAAATATGCTGAGCAACTTTCCCATAAGGTTTAATGACTCTTTGTCAAATCCTTTTTGAGTTACATGCGACACAAGTTGAAAATTGCAAACATTTTCTAAGTCAAGGGCAATAACTCTAAAAATACTAAATAAATCCAGACGAAAATACCCAGGTGCACAACTACACATGCTGATCAATATTCCTGTAAAGTTTCATGACTCTAGGTCAAATACTTTTTCAGTTACATGAGACACAAGTTGAAAATTGCAAAATTTTACTAAGTCAAGGGCAATAACTCTAAAAATACTAAAAATATCCAGATGAAAATACCCAGGTGCACAACTACACATGCTGATCAACATTCCTGTAAAGTTTCATGACTCTAGGTCAAATACTTTTTCAGTTACATGACACACAAGTTGAAAATTGCAAAATTTTACTAAGTCAAGGGCAATAACTCTAAAAATACTTAAAATATCCAGACGAAAATACCCAGGTGCACAACTACACATGCTGATCAACATTCCTGTAAAGTATCATGACTCTAGGTCAAATTCTTTTTGAGTTACATGCGACACAAGTTGAAAATTGCAAAATTTTACTAAGTCAAGGGCAATAACTCTAAAAATACTAAAAATATCCAGATGAAAATACCCAGGTGCACAACTACACATGCTGATCAACATTCCTGTAAAGTTTCATGACTCTAGGTCAAATACTTTTTGAGTTACATGCGACACAAGTTGAAAATTGCAAAATTTTACTAAGTCAAGGGCAATAACTCTAAAAATACTAAAAATATCCAGATGAAAATACCCAGGTGCACAACTACACATGCTGATCAACATTCCTGTAAAGTTTCATGACTCTAAGTCAAATACTTTTTGAGTTACATGCGACACAAGTTGAAAATTGCAAAATTTTACTAAGTCAAGGGCAATAACTCTAAAAATACTAAAAATATCCAGATGAAAACACCCGAGTGCACAACTTCACATGCTGATCAACATTCCTGTAAAGTTTCATGACTCTAGGTCAAATACTTTTTGAGTTACGTGCGACACAAAAGAGAAAGGACGGACGGACGGACAGACAAGGGTAAATCTAAATGCCCGCCACTAATGTGGGGGCACAAAAAGCGTGATTTGTCATAAAATTGTGAAAAAAATTTACATAGTATTTGGCATTTAGCGACATTATGAAACCAGAAAATCTGCTTCAAGTTAGTACTTTAACCCTGGCACTTAACATTGTGCTAAAACCATTTAACTTGATTAAAACTATAAGTGTGTTCTTGAGATTGGCGTAAATCATGTTTTACCTGAAGGTAATCAATGTATTTCAAAGACTAAGTCCCAATATTTTGTGAAATTTCTTTTGAAATTGTGATTTTTTTCCCGCCACTTTGTGAAAAAAAAGTGCAATTTTGAATTGTGAAGGGGCCTGATATCAGGGCCTGATATCGGCCCCTGTTAAAGAAGGAAAAAAAGCCCTGCAAAAGGCGTAACAAAAGGAAAGGGCAATCACTAAACAAGCTTATAGTAAATATATTCCGTGTGATAATTAAGCGACACCAGGTCATGTAAGTTCTCAAATGAAAGTAGTTTTTATTTGTTTGGGTCGTCAGACCAAACAAATAATGGTAGTGAAATTTCAGACTCTAATGCTGTTAATTGCAAGTGCCGAAAGTAGTCCGCTTTTTTGAAGCGGTTACTTCCCTTTATATGTAACACATAGGCCGAAAAATTTATGGGAGATCATTGCGTAAATATGGTCACATGACAGGCGGATTAATTTTCAAGCAAAATAATTCCCGAATAGTCGAAGATTTCTAATATTGTTTTATTCTTTATAGATATACATGCTTATAGTAAGCGCCATGATTATTTACACAAGTGTTAAACAACAGTTAGCGTCGTTACAAACCCTAACTAGAATAATATGGTTTTCTTTAGGCAATTAATATGTAAATTCACCGTGGCCGAGGGGTATGCGCGCTCGCTTATGAAGCGAGAGGTCTCGAGTTCAAATCCCAGTTAAAGCAACTCATTTTTTTCTTCAAATTGTTTAAGTCAAATAAACATTGGATCGAATATCAGTGTTGCAATTAGTCTTATAGCCAATCTACTACAATTAAAACGCTGGAAAGCATTGGTGGCACTATACAAAAACAAATTGTTTTATAATCTCACAAACTTCACCTTTCTGACATTCTGAGACCCAAACAAATTCAGCGCCTTCTGTGCTTTGATTAATGTTTACTTTCAAATACCACTTAATTAACAGGGAGACGCTCAAAATCCCCTTGATCATAATCCCCTTGGTTGATAAACGACATAGTGATCGAAATCCCCTCAACAGAAATGACAGGGTTATCATAATCCCCTTGGCAAAAATAAAGGGGTGGTCATAATCCCCTCAGTGGGTAGTCAAAATCCCCTCAAATAATGTGAAATGGTTGGGAAATTTCTTTTCTTATTTTTCTTTTTAGTTCAATGAATTTAAGAACCAACTGCTTCAAGAATTGCTGAAAAAAAAGAGAAAAGCATACAAACAATTAAAAGGTGTATGTTTGTCACAGCCAGTTAATAATGACACCCTTTATTGATGTTATTATTGCTGAGAAAATGACAACATTGGAGTATTTAAAAATAACCTGTATTATATTGCTAAAGTATACTCCATACTCTTTCCTCTACTCAATGTAACTGCTGTTTGCAACATTTCTTTATGTAACACAATAGTTTAGCTGGAGTGACAAAAGATCAAAGGAAAAAGAATTTTGAGTAAAGGGGGTTGTTTTTCACAAGTTGAGGGGATTTTGACCACCCCATCATTTTTGCCAAGGGGATTTTGACTATCCATCAAGGGGATTATGAACACCCGGTCATTTCTGTTGAGGGGATTTCGATCACTATGTCATTTTTCAACCAAGGGGATTATGATCAAGGGGATTTTGATATACACTCAATTAACAATTAAATCATTTTATCACACATTTAAATGCACACAAAGGCTGATAGATCACTGTGTTATTAACAGCTGTCAAACAAGTTGATTGGAAATAATATTTGCACCAAAAATGGGTGTGAAAAATCTATCAAGATGGAAGGTGTCAAAATAATTGACTTATTTGTGGAAACTGTCCACGAAAAAACTTCAACACATTGAAAAATTCTACACATAAAATTTCGACTCATATCATAGGTTTTCATAGGGAATATATAGAGGGAAAAATCGGGACTTTCATTTTACTTCAATACATCAAGTTCAACTCATAGAAGTTCTACTGTAATTTAAACTTTTGTCATCGACTCAATCCATGTTCACATTACAATATATAGTGGCTTTTTGTCAACACACACATACAAATTATTTAAGCTTCAAGGCAATACATACCTGTCTGGGAATGGTTCCTGCTTTATGTCAACAGGTTCAAGTTTTATCTGGGCTGGTTCCAACATTTTGTCACAATAGGTACCAGTCAAACCCCCCTTAGAAATACTGCCCCCAGTCCGGTGATTACTGAAAAAGATAGATCGACAAAAATAAAATATTGACAGGCATTATTCCATAAGAATATATAACAAAATATGTCTGTCAGACAGTTACTGGGAATAAATTACACAAAAACCTGAACTTAATATTTCTAATTAAAAAAGGCCAAAATTCTGTAAAAACTTGACTAAATTTATCACAATTTGCATTATCTGATTTACCACCCCAAAAAAGTTGATCAAAGTTTTGATTCAAGTTATGATAGGATATAATTTAAAATAAACAAGAGGGCCATGATGGCCCTGAGGTCGCTCACCTGTATATAGGCCCCCCAACCCCCACCCCCCCAACGTTGCAGGGCCAATTTAACCCAGGGGCTTTTATTTGAACAAACTTGGTAGACACCCATAAGAAAATGTTTCATGCTAAACATCTAAGCTCTAGCTCATTGGGCTTTTTAAAAGAAGATTTTTTTAAAGTTTTTACTATACACATATAGTTAAAAACAATGACACCCCTGGGGCTGGGCCAGTTTTGACCCCAGGGCTTTTATTTGAACAAACTTTGTAGACACTTACTAGAAGATGTTTCATGCTTAATATCTAAACTCTAGCTATTTGGGTTTTTTCAAAGAAGATTTTAAGTTTTTGCTATACACATATAAAGAAAATCAATGACCCCCGGGGCGGGGCCAATTTTGACCCCAGGTCTTTTATTTGAACAAACTTTGTAGACACTCACTAAAAGATGTTTCATGCTTAATATCTTAACTCTAGCTATTTGGGTTTTTTCAAAGAAGATTTTTTAAGTTTTTGCTATACACATATAAGGAAAATCAATGACCCCCGGGGCGGTGCCAATTTTGACCCCAGGGCTTTTATTTGAACAAACTTGGTAGACACCTATTAGAACATGTTTCATGCTAAATATCTTAGCCATAGCTCTATGAGTTCTTTAAAAGAAGATTTTTAAGTTTTTACTATATGCATAGACCCCCCGGGGCGGGGCCAATTTTGACCCCAGGGCTTTTATTTGAACAAACTTGGTAAACACTTATTAGAACATGTTTCATGCTAAATATCTTAGCTCTAACTCTTTTGGTTCTTTAAAAGAAGATTTTTTAAGTTTTTACTATATGCATATAGGGAAAATCAATGACCCCCTGGGGCGGGGCCAATTTTGACCCCAGGGCTTTTATTTGAACAAACTTGGTAGACACCTATTAGAACATGTTTAATGCTCAATATCTTAGCCATAGCTCTTTGAGTTCTTTAAAAGAAGATTTTTTAAGTTTTTACTATATGCATATAGGGAAAATCAATGACCTCCCGGGGCGGGGCCAATTTTGAACCCAGGGCTTTTATTTGAACAAACTTGGTAAAAACCTATTAGAACATGTTTGATGCTCAATATCTTAGCCATAGCTCTTTGAGTTCTTTAAAAGAAATTTTTTTAGGTTTTTACTATATGCATATAGGGAAAATCAATGACCTCCCGGGCGGGGCCAATTTTGACCCCAGGGCTTTTATTTGAACAAACTTGGTAGACACCCATTAGAACATGTTTCATGCTAAATATCTTAGCTCTAGCTCTTTGGGTTCTTTAAAAGAAGATTTTTTAAGTTTTTACTATATGCATATAGGGAAAATCAATGACCCCCGGGGCAGGGCCAATTTTGACCCCAGGGCTTTTATTTGAACAAACTTGGTAGACACCTATTAGAACATGTTTGATGCTCAATATCTTAGCCATAGCTCTTTGAGTTCTTTAAAAGAAGATTTTTTAAGTTTTTACTATATGCATATAGGGAAAATCAATGACCCCCGGGGCGGGGCCAATTTTGACCCCAGTGCTTTTATTTGAACAAACTTGGTAGACACCCATTAGAACATGTTTCATGCTAAATATCTTAGCTCTAGCTCTTTGGGTTCTTTAAAAGAAATTTTTTTAAGTTTTTACTATATGCATATAGGGAAAATCAATGACCCCCCGGGGCGGGGCCAATTTTGACCCCAGGGCTTTTATTTGAACAAACTTGATAGACACTCACTAGAAGATGTTTCATGCCAAATATCTAAGCTCTAGCTCTTATGGTTTTTTAAAAGAAGATATTTAAAGTTTTTTCTTTCGGTTGCCATGGCAACCAGAGTTCTGCATGGAATTAAATTCTTTGAACAATTTTTAAAGGCGACCACCAAAGGAACATTCCTGTGAAGTTTGGATGAAATTGGCTCAGTGGTTTATGAGGAGATGTCATTTAAAGTAAAAGTTTATGGACGGACGCCGGACGAAAAGCGATCACAAAAGCTCACCCTGTCACTTTGTGACAGGTGAGCTAAAAAGGGGGCATTACTGTGTAAAACAAACCTGAATAACCTGCAATATGTACAGGTCCCCATTTAGTGACCTTGTATTTCTAATTAAGGCAAGCATTACTTAGACTTTTGAACAAAAACTATCTTAAAATTCTATGAATAAATGAATAGACAAAGGTCCTAAACCATCACCAACTAGTGTGCTATATGTAGGTTCAAAGTCTTTGAGATTTAAACCTCAAAAATAGAAGCATTGAGACACAAGTTATTTGAAGTTTGTGGCCTTATGTTCACTTACAACAATTTACTGGAGTTCAATATCTAAGGCAATATTCACAAAAATTCCTTTTAAAGACAATTCACTTATGACTTAGCACTCTTAAAAATAAAAAGCAATCAAAAGTCCAAAGTGTAAACTTAAATCCATTCAGCCATCTCCTTAAAAAACCTTTTCGAAAACTTCAATTTATTATAAGAAAGATGAATTTAAATAATTTAACTCAAAATATTTAATTTAACCAATATTATAAATTCCAGCACCTTTAAATTTCATTTTTGACAATTAACCACCTCTTCAAAATTCAAACATAGTTATATAGGAAAAAAAGACATCAAGTACAAAATTTAACTGATTACTTGTAAGTATTTGTAATATCCCTCATATTCACAATTAGATGATATTTCACTAAAGAACATACAAAAAATGGGCAACCACAAATAATTCATACGAAGATATATCATTTAAAGCCCTCAGGCACAAACTTATTGTTCATTACTGCTGTAAGCAAGATAAAAAAAACTTTCATTACATAAAAACAACAATGAACCATAACTGACGACATAATTGTGCACCTATTGTTCATTTCTTTGTCTATAATCATGGAGCATTAAAATCTTTGAATTTCTTATACAGTGATAACAAATTATCATACTTTAAAATCTCCTATAGACAAGTAAATCATTACATAGGATGTCAGTTTTACAACACACACAACTGTTTGTAAATTACTTTCTAATATATTCACAGTCAACGAGTTTTTAATCAAGTTTGTGTTTATCATTCCTTTTGGATATCAACAAAATATGTCTTGCTAAATTAAAGCTAATAAATAACATGACAAACAATAGTAGACTTTCATGTTCATAGCACCAGTATTTGTTTGGTTTTTAGTTTAAAATTATACCGATTGCATTTTAACATTATTTCTTGGTTTTAATTTTAGTTAAAATTGCTCAAATTTAACTACATATATTTGAATTTATAAAAAAACTAGAATAACATCAAGTCAGTCTGTATGCTGTTGAGATTCCCTGTATCTATTCCCATCCATGATTGTTATATCTATTTGATTTTGTTTACATAATTATATAATATCAACCTAATTATCAGAAAAAAAGCAGAAAAATAAGTCAAACTGCCAACTGTTAAGGCTGAGGTGAAATTCAAATTAAAGTGAACAAGCTTTTCAGAGTAAAAAAATTCCAGATATCTACTTTAAATTTATAAATATTGGATAAAGGTTTTACAATTTGTTTCTGCTTAACTATTCCCCTGCTAAATATCTTAGACTTGACCATCTTTAATCTGGACAACACCCAGTGATTTTTTTTCACTTAATTGGGAAGAGGTCTTCACCTCTTGAATTTGGGAAAAGTTAACGCTAAAATTGCTAATTTGGGAAGTAGAAAAGCAGGTTTAAATTCAGATTTTTGGGAAAACTGCATGATCTTTCGGTGTCTATTCTAGGAGGATGGATTCATTCATATTTTTGAGAATTTCCCCCTTTTTTTTCCAGAGGCGTGGGGCGGGTTGGGGTCTGGAATTTTACATCAAGAAAGAAGGAAAAAGATCAATAAATGTAATAACTTCTCAAATATAAGCAGGAAAATCACCGACACCAATCATCATGATAATATCTTTAGGGGAAATTTCCAAATATATAAGCATTGTGATGTTTGTTTCTGCACTGGTTGCAAGGGTAGAACCTACTGGCAGGTTGAGTGCTATTTACAAATTATATAATATGCAAGTCTATGTAAGTCATTATCTAAACAATTTTCATTTCTTTTAATAATAGAGGCAAAAGTTGTAACAAACATTAATCTATAACTTTCAAAATTTATGCTCATTGCTGCATAAACTATATTCTATAAATCTAATAAAATATAATCTAATATAAATGCAAGCTCAATTACAGTGATTTTTTTCCCAATTTTCAAAACAACCTATGGCTTTCTGAAGGGGAAAATATAGTGCAATAAATCAGAAAAGGGGGAAAACCTGAAATCAAATTCCATCACACATTTAACAGTTTTATGAAAAAAATTAATATCAATTCAATTTATAACATGCATGGTACATAGCAGCTCTAGGCTATCTAGAGAGATAGCTTTCTCAAATTCTGTCTTCTAGCAGATATAAGTCAGATGCTGTTAAGTCATGGTTCTGGTAAGGAAGAGCACGAGGCATTTTAGGGAAAAATATTAGCATCTTTAGGGGAAAATATACCTATTTTGGGCTAGGGGAAACAGCCTTTATTTGGCTGTAAAATACAGCGAAACAAACCACTGAATTAGAAGACTATAACGAATAAACAACCACTTTTCTAGTATCTGTATAATCATCCATAGGATATGGTGCTTGCTTTTCGAATTTATATAAATTTTTGATATCTTGCCTGTGTTATGCAGGTGGTATCAAGACATCTGCAGATGTTTCTAAATTTAAATTTTTGTCTTTAAATGTTAAACTCTGCTTAAGCCCGTTCTAGGGGGATGTGGACGGTAACTTACACTTTCCAGTACGGTCCATAAACAGGCTCTATCAATCTGAACCTGCAATATTTTCAAATTTGTGCTTTGAGCGTTCTTTAGGGATTCTATTTTTCTATTTATTGCCACATTCAGTGGAGGCCGTCAAAAAGTTTTCCAGTAGATTAGATATAATCAAAGATATAACAGTTTCGATCCTTAAGAATATTTAGCATAACATTATTGTTGTGTGTACATTGTGGTCTTCTATTTAACCTTTTTCAATTTAGTGCCTTCAGTTCTCCAACTGAAATACTGTAAAATAAACCTTAGGATATGGTCTGCTTTAATATGTCTTTTGATGCCTCTGATCCTTTTTCAAACTTCAAATTTGTTTAATTCGGCACATAGTTTAGGGCACACGCATTACTTTGGGACCATATGCCTCTTTTAATGGAATGATACAAAAGTGTCACATATGATGTGGTTGATGATAAGGAACATATATTTGAAGTTTGAAGTTGATACTTTAAGAAATGACTAAGTTATAGTGAAAAATATTTTACTGCACCAAAACTTTAATCTGAAATCTGGACGCCGAGGCGAGTAGGACAGCTCTCGTATAGTCGAGCTAATAACTGCCAGCTTTCTTAAAACACAAATGTGTTTGTAGATTTATGCTTTTCAGATTATTTTCAGACCTAACGAAATGTCGAAAAAATTGTCCATTTTGTATCAAAACATACAGTTGCCTCGATACGACCAATCGCCCAGCTAGTTTTGTAATAGAAGCAAGCAGTGATTTTTTTTCCAATTTTCAAAACAACCTGTGGCTTTCTGAAGGAAAAAATGTAGCACGATAAATCATGAAAAGGGGAAACCTGAAATCAAATTCCAACAATTGAAAATGGAATTTACCCACACATTTTATGTAAAATATAAATTTCAATCAATTTAACATGCATGGTACATAGCAGAGGCTATCTATAGGGACAGATTTCTGTCTTCTAGCTGATATGTCAGATGCTGTTAAGTGATGGTTCTTGTAAGGAAGAGCAAGAGGCAATTTAGGGGAAAATATTAGCATTTTTAGGGGAAAATATACCTATTTTTGGCTGGGGGAAACAGCCTTAATTCGGCTGTAAAATACAGTGAAAAAAATCACTGGCAAGAGGTATCATATAGTATCCATTTATTTGTGTTGTTTGAGATGGTGTACAAATAAAATTCATGCATTTCAAACACAGATTAAACATTGGCGATCAAGTACAGTTAGAATTTCGAAATTAAGTTTTTTTTTCAGGCTCAGAATTTCACTTGTCTGCAGTCAACTGCTAAGTTAAAATGTAAAATGTATTTGTCTGCCGGCAAAAAGTCCCGAGTTTGGCGTAGTAGTTCCGCACCCCTGGTGGACAAGAAGAATGTCCAACCTTTGCATGTTTAATGCTTGGATTTTTCTTTTTCAAATATATTTGACATATATATATTCATAAATATTAATTGGCAAATATGTTTATGATTAATTCAATATTTATTTCAACATATAATTACTTTCCTGTAATAGAATCTAATGTTAACTTGATAAATTGAAAATCCGCGATGGGGGTCTTAACTTCATAATCATATTACTTGTATTAAGAAACATTATTAAATTATTGTCATTGTCAAATTATTTTTTTTAAAAAAGGAAAAAAATGTTTGTTGATTTAATTGAACTAGGACCAGTCAAACTAAAAAAAACATTGTTATATTTATGGGCTACTGTGGCGAATCGTTATGTGGCGAATCTTAGTATGGTGAATAAGAGGGGTTGACAGTATCCAGAGATAGATAGATATTAAAAAGAGAAAACATATTATTCATAACAAAAATATTTCTTTCCAATATATAATTAGTTTAACTGCTAACAAAGTCTAACGACTGACTAAAGTGACCACTTATCGTGGATTTGCAAAACACCAAGGTTCGAATAGTTTTGGGCACTAGTTTTGTTACTAATATATGTGAAAAGAATAATGCAGCAAAACAAAGTTGAGTGGAACAACATGTAAAATATGCTTTTCATTTCTATTTGTTTACCTGTCGTATTTATGAAAATATCGTTATTAATATTTTGGCAAGCTGTCTCAAGCTTTATCAGGACTAATCCGACGTTTTGATTGGTTGACTGTTACAATTTGTGACCAATGACTAAACGTTTAACATCAAATAAGAACTTGTATTGTACGACAAAAAGTAAAAAATATGCGGAGTGAAAAAATAACCCAAAGGATCAGCAACAATTAACAAAATAGATATTTCACGAATTGCATAGACCAGATCTATATAAACTAAACTTTTGCTCAATATGCGTCAATTTGCAAATTTATGGTACAAAGCTTGAAAAGTCAGTTATTGATTATGCAATACCATTGCAATCTTGACCAGAAGTGTCGTTTCCCTTTTGAAAATTAATTAAGAAATTGAATATATTTGCAAGAGTTCTCTCCCTTACATCAATCTAAATTATAAATTCCACCAATTCAACAATTGCCTAGACCAGATCTATATAAAAACTAAACTTTTGCTCAATATGCGTCAATTTGCAAATTTATGGTACAAAGCTTGAAAAGTTAGTTATTGATTATGCAATACCATTGCAATTTTAAAGGCAAAACCACCAAAACCTTTCTGTTATGTAACCCAGATGAAACCACTGACTTGTCTCTTAACGACCATTAAACAATGAACTACAATTGACCTTTGAAGTATGTTAAACTACTTGGGCTTTTAATTAAACAAATTATTTGATAAATTATGATTAAACATGATCATATTTAAAGTTAAATCATTTTATATCCCTGGTTATTGCATTTGAATGTTAAAAAGTAGTTTGGGACCAGAAGTGTCGTTTCCCTTTTGAAAATTAATTAAGAAATTGAATATATTTGCAAGAGTTCTCTCCCTTACATCAATCTAAATTATAAATTCCACCAATTCAACAATATTATTTCAAAGTAATATAAGAAACACGGTGCATATCGATCCATATCGGTACCCTCTTTGCGAAATCTGCTCAAACGGTACCCTCTTTGTACATGCACAGGTCATTCTCTGCTAAAAACAAACCAGCGATGGATAACAATCCAGTAAAATTTCATTGTAATAAGGAAAGGAGGTATGACACGTAGAAAAGATGTATACCACGGAACACTAGAATGTTTTATTTATGTGCTGATTTGTCATGTGCCCGTTTTTCATGTACTGCAACTTCACAATAAGCTACAAAAAATCGACATGTCTTGCCTCGCCCATCACCTCGACATATTTTTCGGGCTGAAATGAACCAGTGGCTTGATTATATATGCATCATACACATTTAGTATGTTCATTTACATATCATCTTTGGACAAATGGCAGTATATTGTCAAAAATAAATGTAAAATTCATAAAAACACCCTAGTTTCGGTTTTGCAGCGGCACGGGCTACCTCTAATCATTTGAATTTTTATATCACAGGTACCCTCTCATTTTTTTAAACATAGGTACCCTCAAGGCACGACATATGCTTTTATTTGCGTTAATCGTTAAGTATGTAATATTTCTTACTTTTATGCAAATATTACATACTTAACGATTAACGCAAATAAAAGCATATAACGTGCATTGAGGGTACCTATGTGTTAAAAAATGAGAGGGTACCTGTGATATAAAAATTCAAATGAAGAGAGGTAGCCCGTGCCGCTGCAAAACCGAAACTAGGGTGCTTTGTGAATTTTACATTTGTTTTTGACAATACACTGCCATTTGTCCAAAGATGATATGTAAATGAACATACTAAATATGTATGATGCATTTAATCAAGCCACAGGTTCATTTCAGCCCGAAAAGTATGTCGAGGTGATGGGCGAGGCAAGACCTGTTGATTTTTTGTAGCTTATTGTGAAGTTGTAGTACATGAAAAACGGGCACATGACAAATCAGCACATAAATAAAATATTCTAGTGTTCCGTGGTATACATCTTTTCTACTTGTCATACCTCCTTTCCTTATTACAATGAAATTTTATTGGATTGTTATCCATCGCTGGTTTGTTTTTAGCAGAGCATATACAAAGAGGGTACCGTTTGAGCAGATTTCGCAAAGAGGGTACCGATATGGATATGCTCGTGTATACCCGATTTTTCAAATGTCACGAAGTTCATGTGATAACTCAAAATATGTCCTGGAGTTCTTATGATCGGTAGTGATCGGTATATAAAGATCATACATTTCGGGTTCATGGGTGTGAGGGGTATCCCGGTTATATACTTGTTGTTTATGGTATAAAATGATACAAATTACTTAGCCGCTTCTTGGGGGAAGCCCAACTATTCACTTAGAGGCACTTATAACCCGACATTTACATTTTTCGATATTAATTGGTTATTTGTGAACGAATTTTGTTCAACTTCGGACCATACATTGTATTTATGTAAAAATAAATAAATCGTATGACAAATTAAAAGAAAAAAAATGAAATATAGATAGATCAGATCATCTAAGCTATTAATTTTATGAAAACAGTTTTCATGATAATTAGCATAAATATTGAGGCGGGTAGGCATGATGCTTGCATGTCTTAGCTATACTTAGCAGATGCTCTGTACTTATGATTATTTGTTGTTGTTTTTTTTAATATAAATATTAAAGGCGTTTTGAGCTCGAACGAATCGTTAATGTTGCGAATCTTTACATTACCGAGCTCCACACCCCAAGTGGCTATGTCAGAGTAAAATAGGTGTTTTAAAGGTAATATAAAATAATATTAACATATTATGTATACAGTACCTTGTTAGATAATAAATAAATAGATAGATATATACGTATACATTTATTTTTAATACGAACTTTATCTAACTTATCTACATTTGGTAAAAGCGTTATACCCGGTACATACATAATGTTCAACGCTCAGCAACATGTGTAAAGAACCGTAAAAAGACATACGTGTCGAATATTACTGTATAGCTTTTGACGGTATCGAGTGATCTCCCATTGTAAATATTTGGTTGTAGCAACAGTTTTTATATTCATGTGAACAGGAAGGTAATTCTTGATAAATTTCATCAGAAAGGAGACCATGGTAAAATTATATGTTTTGTTTGATTGAATGTTGCTATCTGCGAGACCATATGATATGAAAATGCCCATACATTCATCTAAAATTAGCACATAGAATTTTCGTTCTCAATGATTTTATTTGCTTTACTAGGATTCTTCGTATACATAAGATCTACTGTACAGAAAATTTGTTTTTTTTTGTTTTAACTTTTATTTAAAACCCGGTACAAGTCAACCCTTGCTCAAGTCAATCCGGTCTCAAATAATGAGTCAAATTATCTCGCCCCCAAGTCAAATTATTTGATTTGGTAGCAAGACACTTCACCCCCTAGTCCAATATATTAGACGTTACAGGCTTGTTATAGTTTTTGTCGGTCAAGCCTGACGTCTAATAGTTATTGCTCAAAAACGCATAGCATCAAAAAAAAATAAAAAAATGTCTATTGTCTTGCCTTTCAAGCTTTATTCAAAAGCTTATCATATTTTCTTTCAATTTCATGCTCAATCATACACAAAAACTTTCAAACGATGTACTTATCAATTTAAAATAAAATATAAACATCAATCTATTTTTGTCTATCAGGCATACTGGTTAAGCAAGGTGCTTTACAGATTGATACCAAATTTTTGAACGGAAAAATATATTCGAACACACTGACGGTGCATGGGCAATTATTTCGTTAAAAAAATATTCCGTTAGATTGTTCTGACTCAGTTAAACGCTTGCATTTGAATTAGCCAATCAGATTGCGCGCACTTTACGGCCGCCATTTGTTTATCGGCTGTAAAAGGAATTGAAATACATGAGAGGATTTAATCATGATTTTTCGAAGGTATTTATTTTTTAGTTTTGTTCATAAATAGGTCAAAAATTATGTAAATACACGCTGTCTTCATTGTTTTTCGTTCCGCCCGATTTTCTGGCGGAACATGCTATGGGTTTTTGAGCAATTTCGATATGACGTTGCTTTGCCCAGAAGCAAAAATATCTCAAAGCGACGTCATATTTATAGGACTATTCACCCCCCAGACACTTCACCCCTCATATTTTGAAGACACTTCACCCCTCAAGACACTTCACCCCCCAAAATCAGTAAGACACTTCACCCCTCATCCAATTTTTTTCTAAAAAGTAAATAAGCTAACAACATAATGCTTTTTATAGATTCCCGGACAATCCCCCTCCCGGACGATTCCCCTTCCATATTATTTTCACAACCCGGACATTTCCCCTCTCGTTATTTTAATAGGGTGGACTTTTCCCCTCCCGTTAATTTTACAGGGCGGACAATTCCCCTCCCGTTATTTTAGCAGAGCGGACAATTCCCCTCCCGTTTTTTTGGCAGAGCGGACAATTCTCCTCCCGTTTTTTTCACAGAGCGGAATGTGACATTATACGGCCCTTAATCATAACCGCCACTGTGTATAAAAAAAATCTATAACCATTCTTATTAAAGATGACAGTTTTTACTCTTAACAACAAACTGTTAAAGATTGGAACTTTTAAGAAGCATTATTTCACTAAAGGTGACATTATACCGCCTTTAATCATTGCCGCCGCTGCTTAAGATAAGCAAACTGTCAATAAAAAATCTTTAATCAATGATGCCCTTAATTAAATGTGTCCTTGATTGCAAAACCAATTATTTACAATTCTTTTACCGCTGCAGAAATCACGGTGCATATCCATATCGGTACCCTCTTTGCGAAATCTGCTCAAACGGTACCCTCTTTGAAAATGCACAGGTCATTCTCTGCTAAAAACAAATCAGCGATGGATAACAATCCAGTAAAATGTCATTGTAATAAGGAAAGGAAGTATGACACGTAGAAAAGATGTATACCACGGAACACTATAATGTTTTATTTATGTGCTGATTTGTCATGTGCCCGTTTTTCATGAACTGCAACTTCACAATAAGCTACAAAAAATCGACATGTCTTGCCTTTAAAATAAACAATATTATAACATATATATGTTCAACAGCCACGGGAGGGAAATTGTCCGCTCTGACAACAGCGGGAGGGGAATTGTCCGCTCTGCTAAAATAACGTGAGGGGAATTGTCCGCCCTGTAAAATTAACGGGAGGGGAATTGTCCGCCGTAAAAAAAATAACGGGAGGGGAAATGTCCGGGTTGTGAAAAAACATTCAAATTTACTGGGAGGGGAATCGTCCGGGAGGGGAATTGTCCGGATACCCTTTTTGTATCATATGCTTATTTTAATTATTATTTGATTAATAATTTTTTTATTAAAGGACAATTTACAGACATTTCTAAGAGTAAATTTTTGTTTAGTAAATATACTAAATAATTCAGGAACAAATAACACATGTAATAATTTCTTTAGATCATTTACATATAACATGCAATAAAACAACATTTTACTGGTTCAAAAAACCACATTCTTATAAACGTCCATTTGTTATCATTTGTTTAGCATAACTACTTTACCTTCATTACCTTTTTCTACTCAAGAAAAATATTAATAATTATCATTGCAAGATAAAAATATGATTCATGATATCAAGGGAATGTGTGTTTTCAAAGAAAGTGGCTAGCCGTTTCCTGTTTTATGGTATTATCGTGGGCCTAAGCCTAATAAGGACTAAACTTGGTTGGATAATTTTTATAAAACATTTTGGTACAGTATTATATGCCAAAAGTTCTAGCCATATCATAAGAATCACATAAGGCTTTCCTGTACGCACTGTTGAGGCGCCATACAGCATTATTTTAATAACAAATAAATGCAATGATGAAGTTAGTGACTTGCATGAATTAAATTAAATTTTCACAAAGAATGATATGATGATATTTATTTTTCTAAATAAATTTACAGATGATAGTTGAAAAAAATAAATGAAGGAAAATATCACCTGAAAAAATAATAATTAAATTTAATACAATATACTGTGAAAATCCATTTTAGGACTGAATTTTTAAAACTGATATTGGGGCTGGATTCACCAATTTTGGGGCCACATTGACCAACAGTAAATAATGTGGTGTCGGATTAACAGATTGTTGGGTTGGATTAACCCTTTTTTGGGCCTGGATTGACTTGGGGCCAGGTTGACTAATTCTTTAAAACCATTATAAAGAATGGAATTTTACCACATTGATTTTGGGTTCTTAATACACTAGGTACTACCTGTTACTTAAACAAACTCAAAATTAAACTTTTGAAAAGAAATTGTCTTCAAAGTGTCGCATTATCAGGGCTCTACATTGACACAGAGATCCGTTTTGACTCGTGAAAATCATGAAATGCACAAATTTGATACGTGATAAAATCTGCACAAGAGTCAATTTGCCACATGGCATTTTCAGCCATGCAATAATAATTACCTTAAATCCACCCCTAATCCATCAGAGCCCAGAATCATCCTACAGGTATATAGCATACCAGTAAAGATAATTTTTTATATTTATACATTTAATCAGAAAAGCTGCTGCTTATTTTATTCTTACACAGTAAAGATGCAGTTCATTTTTTTTTATTAGCTCACCTTGCACAAAGTGCAGGTGAGCTTTTAGGATGGCCAACCAAATGGCGTCCGGTGTCCGGCGTCCGTCCACATTTTATTCAAACGACATCTTCTACAATACCACTTGGCCAATATTAATGAAACTTGGCAGGAATACTCATTGTATGAAGCTCTATCAAGATTGTTCAAAGAATGCCATTCCATGCTAAACTCTGGTTGCTATGGCAACTAAAAGAAAAAACTTCAAAGTTCTTATACTTCAAAATGGAAAGGGCTAGAGCTTAGATATTTCTCACAAGGCATTAGCTTGTTAGTTCCTACAAAGTATATTCAAATTATGGTCTAAAGTTGAAAATTGGTCTCTATTTTGGGAGTTGAAGGGTTTTTTTATTGCAAGATTATATAGACTTTCTTTGTAGGGATAAATTGAGACAGTGTATCTTGTATTTTTTGTCTCAACAGACATTGTTATGGAGATTTTTCTTTTAAAGCATAAGAAGGATGAAAAGTTTGTTGAATGTGAATGTTCATTCAAAACAGAGTTGATCAGAATAGCACAAATTTGAGAGCTACAGTGAAGTTGATTTCCCCATTCAATAATGGATTCTTCCATTAATTTCGTAATATCATCAGAAAGGAAGACTGTGTCATTTCCGAAATACAATGTAAAATATTTCGGTTCTTGACAATGACTTGGACATTTTATTGTGTATGAAATTGCACAAAGAAACGAAAGTGAACAAAAAATGTTGTTTTTTTTCCCACAAAAATTAGTTGATTAAGATAAAAGTTTAATTTACCGTACAGATATTACATTTTTTATCCTTCCGGTTTGCGGGAAAAATCATATAGCTACACCGCACCTACTGATGAACGAATTATGTCATAATATTTCATTCTGATACGATTCAAATCATTAAATAATGCATACCAGCAGTCAGTCTATAAAAAAATTGCCTCAGAAAACATCTGTATCAACCTGACCTCGAGTTGAGATTATAAATTATACTAAACCGGAAGTACATGACGAAACGTCCGCCAATCAAGAAAATTGAAAAATTTTGTAACATAAACTCGTATTTCATAACAAAGAAGTGAAGATGAATACAATTATAGGTGTGCTTCGTTGAAACAGGTATTTTGTTAACTATTTGTTAAGTAGTAAGGCATGACATTCTGTATTTATGTAAATATCACCTCCCGACGTCCCGTGTTATGATTTATAAAATTATACATGTACACATGTGTTATTGACCTCAATAAATGTTAGTGAAAATGGAAAAATAATTATGGCAATTATCCATGGTGCTAGTAATACTTAATTATCTTTATCATTTTGTTAACTTAGCAAGAAAAATACGTAATTTTAAAATAACTTAACCTCACAATATTATCAATTTATACTTGAAAATCTTCTCAAACAGTAATTTTTGAATTCATTATTGAAACATGAAGATGGTTCATGTAGAGATTAAAAGAGAAGAAAAAACTGAAATGACTCATGAAAATTTTGGTCAAACAGTCTGCCACGTGAAATTCTTTCCTTCCTGAGATCCCTGCTGTTTGTTGTTGTTGTTCTTGTTTTTAGAAAGGGTTTTCTAAATTATGATAAACCACAGATGCTTGGACCAACATGATACCCCTGAGTAAACACTATCAAAAAATATTTTGATATTTAAACACTAATGGGATATCTGTTACAACTATAATACTGGTTTTCGGAAAAAAAATCATATATGAAAAAAAAATACTGTTTACCATCCTGTATTGAGGCTTGATTCTGGGCAGGCAGGCGAATTGATTGGGCTATTTTTCGTAACAGTTTTCTCAACAACTACTTACCAGAGCCTCATGATATTTAGTATGCAGCATTAACACATTGTCCCATACCATGAGATTCGATTTTAGGTCTGTCGCTCATCCACTTCATGTTTACTGACTAAGTTAAATTCATAATAATGGTCAATGGTACGAATTTTTCGTAACAATTTTCTCATTAGTTTAATTCATAATAATGGTCAATGGTACGAATTTTTTGTAACAATTTTCTCAGCAACTACTTATTACAGCCTCTTGATGTTTGGTATACAACATTGATATGATTTCAGGTATGTTGCTCATCCACTTTCAGTTTTCTGACCTAGTGAAATTTTCGGCATTAATTGTAAATGGAAGGAAATTTCCGTAACAGTTTTCTTAGCAACTACATATCACAGCCTCTTGAAATTTGGTATTGTGACTGCAAAGTTCAGGTCTATCGCTTATCCTCTTCCTGTTTACTGATTTAGTTAAATGTTCGATATGAATGGTCAATGGTAGGAAATTTTTGTAACATCACAGCCTCATGAGTCATGTTATTTTGTATACAAATGCAACCCGGCCATTTTTGTCTTTGACCCATTTTTATTAAGTATTATCCAAATTTGTACTTAGTCTTGTTAATTATGATGTCATTGTTAAAATTTTCATGATGTAAACACGCCACAGGGAGTGTATTTTTTAGCAACCTGTACTTTAAAGAAAAGAAAAAAGAGGTATTTCTATACACTTGTTTGCATTCCTGTTGCTGTCGGCCAAAAATACATTACATTTGACACTAACCTTTAAATGACATTAAAGAAATTTATAAACCTGTTGTTTTTTTTTAAAAAGAAAAATACTTTATAAGATCTATTTCTTAAGGTGAGCGATATAGGGCCATCATGGCCCTCTTGTTTTTTTTTTGTTGCCTTTTTGGGGGGGGTGGGGGGAGGAAGGGGTATACAGTTGAACTTTGTTCGCTCAAACTCCGAGGGCCTGTGCAAATTTGTTCGAGAGATCGGTAGTTCGAGCCAACCGAGGTCGAACTATTATTACATTGATCATATGCCTAAAGGTTTATAGCATACATTGGTCGAATGATAAATACATAAATATAATTTTTTGTTAGTACATTTGTTCGTCTATTATGTTACATTCAGAATTATTATCCCAGTGTTTTCAATTAAGTATTAACGGTATGTTGTGTTAATCTATATTCATGCATCTTGTAATTGGTTGAGTTCGATTGGGCAATCAGACCAAACTTGTTGAACAATGTTCAAAATATATTTATATGTTTATAATGGGATTTTTTAATTTTAAAAAATAAATTAATGAAATATTTAAGAAAAAGTTTTACAGCACCATTTATTTGTAGTCATTTACTTAAATAAACACACGTACAAGTATCATTCTATAAATACATAACACTATTACAATTCACGTTACATGAACTACGGTTGTAATTAAAGCCGTCCGGATAAACGTCATTCTTTATTGACTTTTGCATATTTCACTTATTTCACAAGTTCTTTTCTTTTTATCGTTACCATAAACGGCAAATAAACAATATTATTGTAACAAACAAATCGGTTACAGCACCTCTTATTTTGTATCAATTAACCTTAATTGTCTTTGTCATAATCACGAGGTGTTAAAAACATGTGTCGCCGACTGTCATTTATTTAGGACATGTCTTCTTGTGTTCGACCGAAAAGGTGTGATTTTCACTATATATCTGCCGAAGGGACACGAGATCAGGTTCGAGAGTTCGAGCGATCGGTGTTCAAGCGATCCAAGGTAGAACAATATATATTATATAGGAATTTTGCCGGGACTGGGCAATGAGTTCCAGCGAAGGGAGGTATTCGAGCGATCCGAGTTCGAGCGAACGAAGTTTAACTGTATATACATTATAAGGCATTTTTTCCATGTTAAATATTATCAATTTAGACTTGAGAATCTACACAAAATGACCTCCAATACAGTAATTTTTGTAACTTAAAAATGATTCATGTAGTCAGATGACACTAGAGAAAAATGATTTGACTCGTGAAAATTTTTGCCAAATCCCAAAGAGTCTTTGACTTGTGAAATTCCGACCCTACTGAGGACCCTGATTATGAAAGAAAAAAATTGTGTAGACAACTTAATAAACTGGAATTTGTGTTTCAAAATATTTTAAAGTCGTGAATTGAAATTAATCTTTAACCCTTTCCCCCATGAGCATAATATTATTGTGAAAAATGGCCATTTTCACTGAAAAGCCTCCTCTTACAAGTTCAAACTGCTATGAAACTATGAAAAATGCTTCAATACTAATCAAACTTGGCACAAATGTTGACTGGACCATTGCCTTTGTAACGACATGCTCAGTCTTAAATTTCCTGTTACCATGGCAACGGGGGGGACATCTCAAAATTGCCAAAAATCACTATTTTGCCTCGATTTTTTCCATCAAAATTTATTTCAAAGTGCTGCAACTTCTCAAGGGATTGAGATAGAGTCAAAGGCTTTTCAGCGTTGGTTACATCTACCTCAGATCGCTCGAACACCGATCGCTCGAACTCTCGAACCTGATCTCGTGTCCCTTCGGCAGATATATAGTGAAAATCACACCTTTTCGGTCGAACACATTGGTTTTGATGTTCTTTCACTTTTGTATCATAGTCAAACATAAAAACACGTTCCCTGTTGTCACAATATGAAACCCCAGAAAAAAAGTAACCAATGAACGAGCATCTGAATATGAAATTTCTGTCGCTTTCCCTTTCTCTGCCGTCACAATAAGTAAACCCCAACAAAAATGAACCAATCAATGGGCATGCTCTGGAGTGCGGGTAACTAATGTTAACGCACTGTGCATGTATATGTATATGATTTAACTCTGACACATTTTCAACAGAAAGGTCCCCAAACTATGATACAATAATATATAAGATGATGGTCACTCTATCTGTAAAGACTGACATCTATGTATAATACAGTTTATAAAATCAGTAAGTCTTTAATATCCATGCAAGGTTGGTATAAAAGAAATGTAGGGCTGATATGACAGGAGTTTACAAGTTTAAATAATGTTTGGCAATGAAATGTACTTAAGTATAACAAATTGTATAATTAAGAAAATTATATATAAAAAAAATGTTACACACTCTAGTACATATATGGACTTACTGCAGTAGATAGATAAAGATGGATGGTAAAAGAAACCAACCAAATAACCAAGCTGCATTGCCAAATGGTTAACATATCAGACTAGTTTCCTCAAAACAAAAAGGTATCAAATATAGCAATTTTAAGAATGTAGTGTACTTTCTAGGATGATTTGTATTTGATATATTAAAATATATTGAAATATTTGTGAATTACATATAAGAAATTATTATTTATGTTTATTTCATTTTTTTCTAAAACATTTGTAATGATTTATTTTGATATCTGTGTGTATTTTGTGTTATTATTCATTTTAGGTATAATACCATAAAAAATTTCTAGTGCAATCCATTTGCAGATATAACTACCATTACATTAGTAATTTTTATAAGAAAATCATGCCTGAAATACCTCAGTTGATATAGGATGCAGTTATCCACATAATATTGATATAGTCAGTTGTCATTGCACAGATAAACATTTTCTGTTACACTTTGTAAGCATAATGGATTGGAGTGGGGGTTTTCTACCCATTCGGTCTGCTCAATTGGCAATTTTTAAAGGTGTGAAATCAAGTGATTTTTTTAAAACTTCAGTTTCAACAACTCTAATTACTTGTTTGAACTTTGAATAATTATTTACCTGATTTAATGAAGAAAAGAAACTTCTAGCAATTGAAAACAGGCCTGTTTGTTGCCTCTTTATAATGGAGGAAAGGAACAGACTGTAATGCAAACTTCTAACAATGTTCTAATTAATATTTATTTACATTTTTTTAAATAATAATATATATCACTCATTGATCCATAATGATATCAATTTTGCACAGAACCTAAATATTGATATGTTTCTGCTGGAATTGAATAGCAACATAGTTAAAGCTATATAAGTTAATCATATAGTATGTTATGAATGATGTATGCTTCATTGATAAATTAGGTTACTAAGTCATTGATAATTTATAACAAACACTGCATGCATTCATAATTTAATAATTGCCTATGTCACTAGCCTAGAGCTGGGCCACACTGCACTTTCTTATGAAGTCTTTTAGTATTCAGGTTATAAAATTTTTAAATGTACAGTATTAGTAAAGTCTATACAGAATCTATTTTAGTTCAATTATGTTGGAAGCTTCTAGACACACTCTTAAATTCATTCCTATAATGAACCGGCCAGTACTGAGCAATGAGTGCTCAGCTTGGGCAAGGAAACAAATTCAAACAATGTCTTGTCCCTGTCCAGGATTTAGGTGATGGAATCATTCAATGTCCAAATACACTATTAAAATGATTTAAACTTTAAATACACTGCTGTCCAAGTTGTTGTTTTTTTCATTTATTGTTTTGTTGAAGTAATTGGTATTTTTAGGATCAAATATGATAATTCTCTGACTTAAGCTGCTATTATATTGCAGTAAGTATTGATTGTTCCTGCAGAAAAAATCAATGGTTAATTTGTGGCAATATGATAAAATCTTGATGACTTTGTTGATTTACACATAGTTATCCAGAGTATATGGCAACTGTCCATACACAGTCTTATAAAAAAATTTCTTTAAGGAAACTATTTGCTTGTATTGCTAATTATTAGGTACATATAAGTTATTGTAGATTTAATCGAGACAAGTTTTCCCTTGCTGTTTATACCATGAAGAAAAAAACAAAAACAAATAGCAAATAGCAGTTTCAAGAAAATACATAGCGAAATAGAATTAAAATGACATGTTTAAAAATAATGTATTTATAAATAATCATTTATAATTGAAATTATGAAAAACATTATTTGTGCAATTCTAATATGTCTGTTTCAATATTGGGTAGTATTATAGGAACACCCCTGGCTGACGGACAGGCAGGCGGCATCCAATTTTGTCTGGAGCATATCTCCTACATACATAGAGGGATTTTATTAAAACTACATAGAAATGTTCATCACTATGAGCAGTAATGTATTCTTATTCAAAAAATTTGAAGTTGAGACACAGTTCACAACACATTTACGACCACTTTACTAATTCACTGTTAATAATGGTCTCAGAAGAATTGATGAAAAAAGGCTTTGTTACTTAATTTAAACAGTCAGCCATTGTCATGTTCAGGTTTATCATCATGTATTCCACTAATCTTTAACTTGTTAATTAGCTATATATATATCATTATGTTATAAAATTAGGTATGATCATGCTAAGAAATAGATGTAATTTTATACTGATATTGATTTTTCTCTAATCAGTTTGTAAGTGCTCATTAGAAAAGGTATGAATTGTCAGATAGATCAAAATTAATGACAGAATGTCATATTGTTGTAAAGTATACCATAGTTTGTGCCAGAATGGTTTATCACATTGCCCACATTTTATAAGGAGTTAACCGGTTGATGATGACTGTAAATTTGATATGTTGTTCAAACATTTGTAAATAGAAATAATGATATGTAAAGTGAGATAATTTTATGGATAATAAAGTTAAATGGTTAAGTCCACCACTTTTAAGAAGAAAGTTGATAAACAAATAGAAGGAAATGCAGTAACAGTGTCTATTCTAGGATTCAAAAGACAGGGGGGGATTTTTATCAAAAAGTGAGAATTTATTACATTTGTTGATCTTTTTCTTCCTTTCTCTATGTAAAATTTTCCCCCTTGCCCTGAAAAAATAGTGGGGAATTCTCAAAAATAGGAGAGAATCCCCCATCCACCCTCCTAGAATAGGCACTGCAGTAATGTTAAGAATTAACAATCATCATGAGAAAAGTTGAGATCCTTGCAGGTGACAATGGTATTAATTTTAGATGTCAATAATTTGATAGGTTAGATTGCAATGGTTTAACATGTTTATATAAGTGTTTAATATTATGACATTGGTTTCATGTGTTTAATTGACAATTGATTTTTATATTTTAGATGGGAATGGTATAATATGTTAAGATGACAATGTTTTAATTTATGTCAAGCATGGAGCCAGACCCAGATGAACATCAATACCCTGGTGAGGAAGATATCAAATGGGATGATGAAAGCATTAAAGGTAAACTTCTCCACTAAGCTTAGAAAGTCTAAAAACTTAGAATTTATTTTCTTTTACAGGGGAACTTAAAACAGTAAGATATGCAAAAGATAAAGAAACATGCTTCTCATTTAATTAAAAATTGTATTTTAATGTGATACTTAGCCAGATCTAAGTTAAAATTTTAAAATGCTTTTCAGTTTTACGTCATTTTTCACAAAATAACTATTCTGGAAAAAAACGGACAAGCTAATGATCTGAAATATTCCACACATCAAATGGTACATGTGTGTTAAAAAATACTTCCAGTCCCATCATTAAAAAAAAAGCACTGTTGAGTCCCTTTAACGTTCAAAAATGATTTAATATGTTGATTTTTATAGACATTAATTTGTGAAAATATTGCTATATGCATTTGGTTATGAGTTGACTGTATTGCAACATAGCAATACAGGTTTGACTGTATAATTGTACATTGGTATATTATTTCCTTTATGGGAGCACTTCTGAATTGCAAATAAAAATACAATAATCTGTTCTATATAGAATTTGAAAGAAAACCATCAGAAATATAGTATATTAATATACATTTCTTATGTTGTTTTAAGGGAACAAGCCAAAAGGTTTATATAGTAAGACTTCAGAGACAGCTCGTGGATTCATCTCAACAGAGAAACAATGTGCTCTCTTTTGTGGAGGTAAAAAATGTAAATACTGCAGTGGTGAAGGCTGGGAGGAGCACGAGACTGTGATAAACGGACTGTACTCTCAATGGTATATTACAATATCCAAGTACCTGTTCTATATCTAATTTTATATTTTGTTAAATCTATAGTGACTGCTTTATGGATAACATAACTTAATAAAAGTTCCAATATTTTATGAAGTGGATCTTTTTAATTGTAAATTAGAGTTAAGACTTTGCTTTTTGTACAGATGTTATCAAATAAAACAGCAAAGTTCAGTTTGTTGGCCTGAATAATTATCTGAGCATTAAACCATGCAATATCAATTGATGATGCACAAGAAGTCTTTCTTCATTCTAATATGCTTTAAGAAAGCAGATCTAAAATATGTGGTGAAGTAATCTCTGCAGAATATGAACCATTTATAATATTACAATGTACCATTATGGTAATTTAGAATGCTTATTAAATTTCAAATAAAAACCGGGTTTTCTGGAGATCAAGTTAAATTTATTATTAAAGTTCTTTTTCTGTAAACAACAAAATTTGTAAAACAGTACTCTGCAGAATTTGTGTAACTGACTTTGGAACTGTCCATTAGAAGTGTTAGGGATTTCAATATTATGATAGTTAAATTACTCAGAGATTCGGGAAATTATGCATGGAATTGCAGACTGAACAAATTACTCGAGGTTTCCAATCCCTACTGCTCTAAAAGCTAAGAAATTAAATTGATCAACTGTTATCAAAGTTTTTTGATTTAACTCTCACCATGCTTAATATCTTAAATGAACTTGTCAATCTTTCAATTTGGACAAAACCAGTCTGACTTAATAGCCAATAGTACAGACCCTGATCAGATGTAATGAATGTGTCAGCTGACGGTAGTCTAGACTGGTTGCATTGGTAGAAACTGTGGCTGTCAGCAGGCTAAAAGTTAACAGATAAAAGGCTCAAATATATTGTTCAGCTTGTTTGCACATACTGTTGCCTTATAACTATTTTTCTTTCTTATCCTCAGGTATTTGAAATTTTTTTCTCAAAGTAGATAATTTAATCTCCTAAAATGATATATAAATTAGCAAGAAGTATAAATTATTTAAATGGTATACAAGATAATGTCAGAACCTGTTTACAACAATGTATCATTGTCTTAACAACATTTATTACTGTAGTACTTATTGGATATTTCAGGGTAACTGACAACATTCTAGCCATGGCAAGACCATCAAATTTGATGATTGAGAAACAGAATCTGGTTCAAAAATTTCTAGAGTAAGATTCTTGCTTATTCTCAGTGTTAAATAAGATACGTCTGCTGAATTTATGTAATGGACTTTCCTTGCTGTAAAATTAGAACAGTTCATTAATAGTTTAAGGGATTTCAGGATCCTACATCACAAGACTAAAATTTAAAATTTAAAGTTATCACCAGTAAACAGACTGGTCAAACTTGACAGAGTAGAACGTTCTATTACTAGTTGTGAAGGCTTTGTTATTTTTGATTCTAGCATTATTAAGGTTAGGAACTGGTTTGTTGATATTCTCAAAGCAGAAGGAAAGTTTGCATTTGTCAATCAACTATTCTGTGGTGTAGGTAGTTTCAGGACATATGGATGTGGAAGCAATAAGTTGAAAAGCTTTTTTGTGCTTTCAAGGTGAAATAAAAAAAATGATTGTTTATTCAAATTAATTATTACCTTTATAACTTGTGTTGTAACATTATTGTTTTAAAACTATTCAGACATAGGAAAAAGTTGCTGATTTCTACAGATATGACATCATGATCTTTTTTTACCTTTTGTGCATTCTATTTTGCTACATTTTTTAATGATTCGGATTTCAGTAAATCATTGAAAAGGCATAAATTGTTGACTAGTGCTAATTTTAAAGTATCCTATAGTCATAGTTAACGTATGTTTTAGTGCTGACATCAAGTCTATAGTGAATCTTCAAATGGCCGGGGAACATGCAGAATGTGGACCTCATAAACTAGACCCAAGTGGCTTTCTCTACAATCCACAGGCATTTATGGAGAAAGGAAGTAAGTATGAAATGAAAGGTTCTGTATAAACTGTGTGCAGTTATGTATAATAAATCTGTAATAGCCGAGCTCTATAAATATTCTATGATCCCACTTGTGTTGGTTATAGTTATTTAATAAATTTGATAGATACAATGTTAGATATGGCTGACTATGATAGGGCAGCAAAAATAATATAGTAGAATTTGTATTTTATAGGGATCAAAATGTTACTTGAATATATGTACTTATCTGTAGGTATTTTTACACTTTCTCAATTGACATAAGGAGCAAAAATGAAAAAAAAAACAAGAACTGTTTTTTTAACTTAAAAATTTCAAAAGCTATACTGATATTTTAAGAGATCATTTGTGATGATTTCATTATCTTTTTCAGTTTTCTTTTACAATTTTGGCTGGTAAGTACTGATACTTTTTTTTATTGACTTTTCCATTTTAATTTATTGTTAGGTTATATGGTCAGATGCTTGGAATAAAACAATACTTGAAGTACCATCTCCTACAAAAAACATTCGAGTCAATACAATTATTTCATTATTTAAGAATTTTTAATTTAGCAATACAACCTCTGCAGAGTAACTTCCCTTTGGGATAAAAGTACAACCTCTGCAGAGTAACTTCCCTTTGGGATAAAAGTACAATCCCTGCAGGGTAACTTCCCTTTGGGATAAAAGTAAAACCCCTTTGGGATAAAAGATTTAGTTGTTGCAGAGAGGTGGTGCTCTACAGAAGTTAAATTTGTTGAGAAAATTTACTTGGAGAAAAATTGATACAGTTGTTGTAAAGAGGTGTTTGTTTTAGTGAGGACTGTTTTGCAAAGGCTATTATGCTGTATATGCCATTTATAAACTTGATTCATGCTAATAACATTCTAACATTAATGCATCAATGTTTCTAATTGTATCAAGTGTTGCTTTTGTAGTCTTGATCTTTTATTAATTAAAACAGTATTAAAATTATGTGGTAATTTTTGTGTCGCCTCTACAGAGTAGTGGCGTCATATAGGGATCACTTTTCCGTCGTCAGTCTGTCTATCTGTCTGTCCGTCCGTCCGTCACAGAACTCGTCCGGACTACTCCTCATAAATTACTGGTGCAATTTCATCCAAACTTTACAGGAATGATCAGTACCAAGTCTAGTTGTACATATCATCAGCATTTTCCGGTTCAATGATTTTTGCCTGAGTTATGGCCCTTTAATAATTTTTATTTTTAAAGTTTGTGCGGACTACTCCTCTTATACCACTTATACAATTTCAATGAAACTTTACATGATTGATCTGTAGGTCAAGTCTTTGCAAATATTGCACAGGTTCAATTTTCGGTTCATTGATTTTTGTCATTTCATGATTTTAATTTTGAAATTTGTCTGGACTACTCCTGTTATACCACTTATACAATTTCAATTAAACTTTACATGATTGATTGATAGCTCAAATTCTTGTGTTTATTTTACACAGGTTTTTAGGTTGAATGATTTTTGCCAAGTTATGGCTATCATGACGTGACACATGTCATCACTGATGGCCCTTGTTGCTTATTATGAGATTTTACATTTTTATTGTGTTCATACATAAATGTTGTATATGTTCATGTTGTTTTATGTTTTTTTTACTGTTACATTATTGTTACAGGCCGGACTATGGTGTAGCATCATTAAGTACAATATTAGATATGGTAAAGGTGATGCAGTTTGCCATGTCACAGGGGAAAGTTGCTGTACATTGCCATGCTGGTAGAGGTATGTACCATACTAACTTCATCACAGAGTAACTATTACATTACAAGCTTAATGCTGGTAGAGGTATGTACCACAATAACTTCATCACAGAGTAACTATTACATTACTAGCTTAATGCTGGTAGAGGTATGTACCACAATAACTTCATCACAGAGTAACTATTACATTACTAGCTTAATGCTGGTAGAGGTATGTACCACAATAACTTCATCACAGAGTTACTATTACATTACAAGCTTAATGCTGGTAGAGGTATGTACCACAATAACTTCATCACAGAGTTACTATTACATTACTAGCTTAATGCTGGTAGAGGTATGTACCATACTAACTTCATCAGGGAGTTACTATTACATTACAAGCTTAATGCTGGTAGAGGTATGTACCATACTAACTTCATCATGGAGTAACTATTACATTACAAGCTTAATGCTGGTAGAGGTATGTACCACAATAACTTCATCACAGAGTTACTATTACATTACAAGCTTAATGCTGGTAGAGGTATGTACCATACTAACTTCATCAGGGAGTTACTATTACATTACAAGCTTAATGCTGGTAGAGGTATGTACCATACTAACTTCATCATGGAGTTACTATTACATTACTAGCTTAATGCTGGTAGAGGTATGTACCACAATAACTTCATCACAGAGTAACTATTACATTACAAGCTTAATGCTGGTAGAGGTATGTACCATACTAACTTCATCATGGAGTAACTATTACATTACTAGCTTAATGCTGGTAGAGGTATGTACCATACTAACTTCATCACAGAGTTACTATTACATTACAAGCTTAATGCTGGTAGAGGTATGTATAATACTAACTTCATCACAGAGTAACTATTACATTACTAGCTTAATGCTGGTAGAGGTATGTACCATACTAACTTCATCAGGGAGTTACTATTACATTACAAGCTTAATGCTGGTAGAGGTATGTACCATACTAACTTCATCACAGAGTTACTATTACATTACTAGCTTAATGCTGGTAGAGGTATGTACCATATTAACTTCATCACAGAGTTACTATTACATTACAAGCTTAATGCTGGTAGAGGTATGTACCACAATAACTTCATCACAGAGTTACTATTACATTACAAGCTTAATGCTGGTAGAGGTATGTATAATACTAACTTCATCAGGGAGTTACTATTACATTACAAGCTTAATGCTGGTAGAGGTATGTATAATACTAACTTCATCACAGAGTAACTATTACATTACAAGCTTAATGCTGGTAGAGGTACAGGGTGTTTCATAATATGTGATACACTTTTAATCAAATGTTTCGTTTATGTAAGAAAATCAGTCATAATGAGAAATGAACCATATTAAAGGGAAATGCTGTCCATTTATAAAAGTGTAGTTTTTTCGTTATTTAACCTACCAATAATATTTTTAGCTACGCTTGAAAACAGGGTCCATTTATAGCATATACTCAAAATGACGTCCATTATGGCGTCGCACCATCTCCACACGTTTCATGAAGTTTTCCATCACATTATTGCACATGTCACCGGTAATCTTCCTTATTTCACATCTTATGGACTGTTTAAGCTGATCTGTTGTCTTTGGCTGCACTTTGTAGACTCTGTCCTTGAGATAGCCCCAAAGAAAAAAATCCAAAGAACTGAGATCCGGAGAGTGGGGCGCCAAGTGCATTCCGTCTTCAGAGAGATAAATCGTTTGTCAAATGTTTTTAAGCCATTCAAGAACTCTCTTGGCCGTGTGTGGACCGGCACCATCTTGTTGGAACCATATTTGTGTCATATCAACCCCTTTCCGACGGAGTGCAGGCAGAAACTTGTATTTTAGAAGAGACAAATAGCGGTCACTGTTGTTTGTCTCGGTATTTCAGTCTTGGTCTTGGAAAATGAAATGGCACTAGTTACGGTGTCTCTGGTCAAGTACACTTTCATGCTGCTCAAATCTTTTAACTACTCTGCTTACTTGTAGCCTGGTCACCCTTCTATCGGCAGGGTACATTTTCCTCATTCTTCTAGTTACAGATATGATAGAATAGTGTTCATAGTACAATTTTATGATATCTTGACACTTTTCCATGGAAAATAACAGATAATAATGACGTCATACATGACTTCATGACGTTAACGTTTTCCAGTATTTTACGTCGCGTTCAAAATGGTGAAGTATGTAGTTTATTTTGGTATAAGCATTTTGTTTGTAGCTATAAAATCATTAAAGCAACAATTATTTGAAAGTGTATCACATATTATGAAACACCCTGTATGTACCATACTAACTTCATCACAGAGTTACTATTACATTACTAGCTTAATGCTGGTAGAGGTATGTACCATATTAACTTCATCATGGAGTTACTATTACATTACAAGCTTAATGCTGGTAGAGGTATGTACCATACTAACTTCATCATGGAGTAACTATTACATTACAAGCTTAATGCTGGTAGAGGTATGTACCACAATAACATCATCATAGAGTTACTATTACATTACAAGCTTAATGCTGGTAGAGGTATGTACCATACTAACTTCATCAGGGAGTAACTATTACATTACAAGCTTAATGCTGGTAGAGGTATGTATAATACTAACTTCATCACAGAGTAACTATTACATTACTAGCTTAATGCTGGTAGAGGTATGTACCATACTAACTTCATCACAGAGTTACTATTACATTACTAGCTTAATGCTGGTAGAGGTATGTACCATACTAACTTCATCATGGAGTAACTATTACATTACAAGCTTAATGCTGGTAGAGGTATGTACCATATTAACTTCATCACAGAGTTACTATTACATTACAAGCTTAATGCTGGTAGAGGTATGTACCACAATAACTTCATCAGGGAGTAACTATTACATTACAAGCTTAATGCTGGTAGAGGTATGTATAATACTAACTTCATCATGGAGTTACTATTACATTACTAGCTTAATGCTGGTAGAGGTATGTACCACAATAACTTCATCACAGAGTGACTATTACATTACTAGCTTAATGCTGGTAGAGGTATGTACCATTCTAACTTCATCACAGAGTTACTATTACATTACTAGCTTAATGCTGGTAGAGGTATGTACCATACTAACTTCATCACAGAGTAACTATTACATTACTAGCTTAATGCTGGTAGAGGTATGTACCATTCTAACTTCATCACAGAGAGTAACTATTACATTACTAGCTTAATGCTGGTAGAGGTATGTACCATACTAACTTCATCACAGAGTAACTATTACATTACTAGCTTAATGCTGGTAGAGGTATGTACCATACTAACTTCATCACAGAGTTACTATTACATTACTAGCTTAATGCTGGTAGAGGTATGTACCATACTAACTTCATCATGGAGTAACTATTACATTACAAGCTTAATGTTGGTAGAGGTATGTATAATACTAACTTCATCAGGGAGTTACTATTACATTACTAGCTTAATGCTGGTAGAGGTATGTACCATACTAACTTCATCAGGAGTTACTATTACATTACAAGCTTAATGCTGGTAGAGGTATGTATAATACTAACTTCATCACAGAGTAACTATTACATTACTAGCTTAATGCTGGTAGAGGTATGTACCATACTAACTTCATCACAGAGTTACTATTACATTACTAGCTTAATGCTGGTAGAGGTATGTACCATACTAACTTCATCACAGAGTAACTATTACATTACAAGCTTAATGCTGGTAGAGGTATGTACCACAATAACTTCATCACAGAGTTACTATTACATTACAAGCTTAATGCTGGTAGAGGTATGTACCACAATAACTTCATCATGGAGTTACTTTTACATTACAAGCTTAATGCTGGTAGAGGTATGTACCATATTAACTTCATCATGGAGTTACTATTACATTACAAGCTTAATGCTGGTAGAGGTATGTACCATACTAACTTCATCACAGAGTAACTATTACATTACAAGCTTAATGCTGGTAGAGGTATGTATAATACTAACTTCATCATGGAGTAACTATTACATAACAAGCTTAATGCTGGTAGAGGTATGTACCATACTAACTTCATCATGGAGTAACTATTACATTTCTAGCTTAATGCTGGTAGAGGTATGTACCACAATAACTTCATCACAGAGTAACTATTACATTACTAGCTTAATGCTGGTTAATGAGTAACTTTTACAGTAGAAATGGTACAGCGAAGAGCAGCACACTTCACTACAAACAGGTACCATAACACCAGTAGTGTCTCAGATATGCTACATCATCTAAACTGGGAAACATTGGAAACACGCCATCAAAAGCTCCAACTCATTATGCTTTACAAAATCATCCCTCAACTTGTGGAGATAAATCAAGGCCACTTCTTAACACCAACTAAACCCAGATCAAGGTCGCCACACAGTACCCCATTCGTACAGTTTTTAACGTCCTCTGACGTTATGAAAGTCAGCTTCTTTCCTCTTTTAGCTGTCTAAACTAACCTTCTAAAGAGGACTTACATTCACAGTTACAAAGTACTGCCAATTGAAGGGCTTGAGCTATGCCCGCAGGGTCTCGGACCTGGGCACAGCCACGGAACCTAGTTTGGTCTTGCCTACTGTGTACAACTATTTTCTGCTACTTTATTTCTTTTTAACTTCTATCTAGCAAAAACTGTGGCCGTTTCCCTTTTTCTTTCTATCCTATTTTATTTCTTTTTTGTCTTTTTTTAGCTCGACTTTTTTTTTTGAAAAAAAGTAGAGGTATTGTTATAGTCCTGGCGGCATTGCCGTTGCATTTCCCTTTGCGACCGCAAACTTGCACCTGGATCATTACTTTTTAGCTCACCTGTGCTTGCTCAGGGTGAGCTTTTAGGATCGGTGAATGTCCGTCGTCCGTCCACAATTGCTTGTGAACACTCTAGAGGTCACATTTTTGACCCAATCATCATCAAACTTGGTCAGGATGTTTGTCTAGGTGATAGCTCGGATGAGTTCGAACATGGGTCATCTCGGATGAAAAAGTAGGTCACAGGAGCTATAAATAGAAAAACCTTGTGAACACTCTAGTGGTCACATTTTTGAACCAATCATCATCAAACTTGGTCAGAATGCTTGTCTAGTCAATTGCTTGGATGAGTTCGAACATGGGTCATCTCTGATGAAAAACTAGGTCACAGGAGCTAAAAATAGAAAAACCTTGTGAACACTCTAGTGGTCACATTTTTGACCCAATCATCATCAAACTTTGTCAGGATGCTTGTTTAGATAATAGCTCGGATGAGTTCGAACATGGGTCATCTCGGATGAAAAAGTAGGTCACCGGAGCTAAAAATAGAAAAACCTTGTTAACACTCTAGCGGTCACATTTTTGAACCAATCATCATCAAACTTGGTCAGAATGCTTGTCTAGTCAATTGCTTGGATGAGTTCGAACATGGGTCATCTCTGATGAAAAACTAGGTCACAGGAGCTAAAAATAGAAAAACCTTGTGAACACTCTAGTGGTCACATTTTTGACCCAATCATCATCAAACTTTGTCAGGATGCTTGTTTAGATAATAGCTCGGATGAGTTCGAACATGGGTCATCTCGGATGAAAAAGTAGGTCACCGGAGCTAAAAATAGAAAAACCTTGTTAACACTCTAGCGGTCACATTTTTGCATCAATCATCATCAAACTTGGTCAAGATGCTTGTCTAGGTGATAGCTCGGATGAGTTCGAACATGGGTCATCTCGGATGAAAAAGTAGGTCACCGGAGCTAAAAATAGAAAAACCTTGTTAACACTCTAGCGGTCACATTTTTGCATCAGTCATCATCAAACTTGGTCAAGATGTTTGTCTAGGTGATAGCTCGAATGAGTTTGAACATGGGTCATCTCGGATGAAAAAGTAGGTCACCGGAGCTAAAAATAGAAAAACCTTGTTAACACTCTAGCGGTCACATTTTTGCATCAATCATCATCAAACTTGATCAAGATGCTTGTCTAGGTGATAGCTCGGATGAGTTCGAACTTGGGTCATCTCGGATGAAAAACTAGGTCACAGGAGCTAAAAATAGAAAAACCATGTTAACACTCTAGTGGTCACAATTTTGACTCAATTGTCATCAAACTTGGTCAGGAAACTTTTCTAGGTCATTGCTGTGAATAAATCGAACATGGGACATCTCGGATGAAAAACTAGGTCACAGGAGCTAAAAATAGAAAAATCTTGTTAACACTCTAGTGGCTACTGTTGTGATCCAAATATTCTGTTAATTGGTCTGAAAGTTTGTTTTGATGATTTCTAAGTCAAGATCGAACATGGGTCATCTTGGATGAAAAACTAGGTCACACCGCCCAAATATGGAAAAACCTTGTTAACATTCTAGTGGTCACATTTTCAACTCAATTATCATGAAACTTGGTCAGGATGCTTGTCTAGGTAATTGCTTGGATGAGTTTGAAATCGCATGTGGAACTAGGTCACCGGAGCTAAAAATAGAAAAATCTTGTTAACACTCTAGTTGCTACTGTTTTGATCCAAGTATCCTGGAAATTGGTCTGAAAGTTTGTTTTGATGATTTCTAGGTCAAGTTTGAATATGTGTCACCTGGGTAAAAAACTAGGTCGCACTGCTCAAATATGGATAATCCTTGTTAACACTGTAGTGGTCACATTTTTGACTCACCTGTCATGAGACTTGGTCAGAATGCTTGTCTAGGTAATTGTTTGGATGAGTTTGATAAGTCAGGTGAGCGATCTAGGGCCATCATGGCCCTCTTGTTTAGTTCTTGGTGTATTGTCTTCATACTTAGCCACAAAAACCCTTGGGACAGACCTTTCAGTAGACCACACTAACCTTGACCTTCATCCATAAATGGGGCGTCCGTGGCCGAGTGGTTAAGGTCTTTGACTTCAAACCACTTGCCCCTCACCACTGTGGGTTAGATTCCCGACTGGGACTTTGAATTCTTTCATGTGAGGAAGCTATCAAGCTAGCTTACGGAATGTCGGTGGTTCTACTCAGGTACCCGTTCGTGCCTGAAATAATGCACGGAAGAGCACCTTAGGTCTTCCTCCACCAGTAAAGCTGGAACGTCGCAATATGACCTATACTGTCAATGAATCCCAATAAAACAATAAAAACATCATCCATAAATGACCTTGACCTTCAAGGTCAAAAGTCCAAATTGTGCTTGTTCTTGCTATTATTGGCTGTAACTTTGTTATTTTTGAATGGATTGTCTTCAAACTTGAACATAATAATCTTCAAGGATATCCTTTAAAAATAACCAGACAGACCTTGACCTTCACTCATAAATGACCTTGACTTTGAAGGTCAAATTATTGAAATTTTCATTTTTAGCTCGACTATTCGATAAGAATAAGTAGAGCTATTGCAGTCACCCGAGCGTCAGCGTCGGCGTCGGCGTAACCACTTATGTTAAAGTTTTTGTAATAGTTCAAATATTTTCAAAGTCCATAGACATATGGCTTTGAAACTTTGCACACTTGTTCACCATCATGACCCCAACCTGTAGACAGGAGGAGGTAACTCTATCAAGCATTTTGACAGAATTATGCCCCTTTTTCGACTTAGAATTTACGTTAAAGTTTTTGTAATAGTTCAAATATTTTCAAAGTCCATTGACATATGGCTTTAAAACTTTGCACACTTGTTCACCATCATGACCCCAACCTGTAGACAAGAGGAGGTAACTGTATCAAGCATTTTGACAGAATTATGCCCCTTTTTCGACTTAGAATTTACGTTAAAGTTTTTGTAATAGTTCAAATATTTTCAAAGTCCATTGACATATGGCTTTGAAACTTTGCACACTTGTTCACCATCATGACCCCAACCTGTAAACAGGAGGAGGTAACTCTATCAAGCATTTTGACAGAATTATGCCCCTTTTTCGACTTTGAATTTACGTTAAAGTTTTTGTAATAGTTCAAATATTTTCAAAGTCCATTGACATATGGCTTTGAAACTTTGCACACTTGTTCACCATCATGACCCCAACCTGTAAACAGGAGGAGGTAACTGTATCAAGCATTTTGACAGAATTATGCCCCTTTTTCGACTTAGAATTTATGTTAAAATTTTTGTAATAGTTCAAATATTTTCAAAGTCCATTAACATATGGCTTTGAAACTTTGCACACTTGTTCAACATCATAACCCCAACCTGTAAACAGGAGGAGGTAATTGTATCAAGCATTTTGACAGAATTATGCCCCTTTTTCGACTTAGAATTTACGTTAAAGTTTTTGTAATAGTTCAAATATTTTCAAAGTCCATTGACATATGGCTTTTAAACTTTGCACACTTGTTCACCATCATGACCCCAACCTGTAAACAGGAGGAGGTAACTGTATCAAGCATTTTTTTTACTATCAAGCACTAAGAATAGTCGAGCGTTGCTGTCCTACCGACAGCTCTTGTTTTGGCTATTATTGGCTGTAACTTTGTAATTTGAGAATTGATTGTCTTCAAACTTCAACATAATAATCCTCAAGGATAGCCCTTTAAAATAATCAGACAGACCTTGACCTTCTTTCATAAATGACCTTGATTTTGAAAGTCAAATTATTGAAATTTTCATATTTTTGGCTATTATAGGCTGTAACTTTGTTATTTTTGAATGGATTTTCTTCAAACTTGAACATAATAATCTTTAAGGATAGCCCTTAAAAATAACCAGACAGACCTTGACCTTCACTCATAAATGACCTTGATTTTGAAGGTCAAATTATTGAAATTTTCATTTTTTTGGCTATTATTGGCTGTAACTTCGTTATTTATATATATAAATATATATATATACCTTTTCTTTTTTTCTTCTTCTGTAATACGCATGCAGATATATCTGGAAATGATTCATACTTTGACAAAACTAATGTGACTAGACAGATCAATTAAATTTATAGAAAGGTAACGTTAAGATTTGTTCAAACATTTCTTTGTTTGCTTTTAGAAAAACTAAAAAGTCGAGCTCTGCCCCCGCCCGTCGGTGGCTCTTGTTTTTTCTTGCACCGTTAAAGAAATGTCAAGTTTGACAGTTAAACATACAGATGTATTGTTGACATTATTAGCTTACTCAACCATTCTCCTGCTTGAACCAAAAGTGACTATAGTCTTTGAAACCAGTATAGATTGTACATCTCTGTAGTGTGGCCAGACTCTATACTGTTTGATGACTAACTTTAAATTTTCATTTCTCTGTGTCTCCTGCTACTCAGCAGCAGCAACATGCAATTGGTTATCAGGTGACACATGTGATCACTGATTGCTCTTGTCTATGCAAATCTCATAAAATTTCTGATGCAGTGGTGAGAAACAAATGACAAGTATACATACTGTCTGAAATCTATTGTTTTAGAGTAATTTTAATTCATTGGAGGATCAAACCGGAGACACCGTGACTACAAATCAGATGCTCCCTTTATTGAGCTAAATTGGTGGGGAGTAGAATATGCAAATATCATGATTGAACAGTTTTTTAGAGTTTCGTTATACAGCTTTACAGATTTTAACAAAATGTGAATAAATTTTTTTGTTTGTTTCCACAGTTTCTGTATTTTATTGCATTATATGGATTTTGATATGACTTATCTTGTGTAAACATTTTATTTCAGGTAGGACAGGTGTTATAATAGCTTGTTATCTTGTGTTTACAAATAGAATCTCAGGCAGAGAGGCCATACATTATGTTAGGGAGAAAAGGTAAATTTATTTCATATGTTCATAATAAGTTTATTCTATGTTATATCATAGTAAGATGGGGTTTTATTATGCCCGCAAACAAGCCTCGGGTTTCTAAGACTAAGGTCAAGGTCAATGTGGGGGTTCAAACTTTGTCATTTTTTATGTTATATAAATATAGAAGGTGGTGGTCCTGTCCACTCTGAAACTTCATTATGCATGGAAGGATTGTAATTTTTCTTTCACATATGAAATAAACATAGATGTATGGTGTGTCGCAAACAAGACTCAGGGTTCTACGACTAAGGTCAAGGTCACTGTGGGGGTTCAAACTTTGTCATTTTTTATGCTATATAAATATAGATGGTGGTGGTCATGTCCGCTCTGAAAGTTCAGTATGCATGGAAGGATTGTAAATTTTCTTTTACATATGAAATAACCATAGATGTATGGTGTGTCACGAACAAGACTCAGGTTTCTACAACTAAGGTCAAGGTCACTGTGGGGGTTCAAACTTTATCATTTTTAGCTCGACTATTCGATAAGAATAAGTAGAGCTATTGTAGTCACCCGAGCGTCGGCGTCGGCGTCAGTGTCGGCGTCGGCGTAACCACTTATGTTAAAGTTTTTGTAATAGTTCAAATATTTTCAAAGTCCATTGACATATGGCTTTGAAACTTTGCACACTTGTTCACCATCATGACCCCAACCTGTAAATAGGAGGAGGTATCGTATCAACCATTTTGACAGAATTATGCCCCTTTTTTGACTTAGAATCTACGTTAAAGTTTTTGTAATAGTTCAAATATTTTCAAAGTCCATTGACATATGGCTTTGAAACTTTGCACACTTATTCACCATCATTACCCCAACCTGTAGACAGGAGGAGGTAACTGTATCAAGCATTTTGACAGAATTATGCCCCTTTTTCGACTTAGAATTTATGTTAAAGTTTTTGTAATAGTTCAAATATTTTCAAAGTCCATTGACATATGGCTTTGAACCTTTGCACACTTGTTCACCATCATTACCCCAACCTGTAGACAGGAGGAGGTAACTGTATCAAGCATTTTGACAGAATTATGCCCCTTTTTCGACTTAGAATTTACGTTAAAGTTTTTGTTATAGTTCAAATATTTTCAAAGTCCAATGACATATGGCTTTGAAACTTAACACACTTGTTCACCATCATTACCCCAACCTGTAAACAGGAGGAGGTAATTGTATCAAGCATTTTTTTTTACTATCAAGCACTAAGAATAGTCGAGCGTTGCTGTCCTACCGACAGCTCTTGTTTATGTTATAAATATTGAAGGTTGTGGTTGTGTCCGCTCTGAAACTTCAGTTTGCATGGAAGGATTGTAATTTTTCTTTTACATATGATATAACAATAGATGTATGGTGTGTCGCGATTAAGAATCAGGTTTCTACGACTAAGGTCAAGGTCACTGTGGGGGTTCAAACTTTGTCATTTTTAGCTCGACTATTCGATAAGAATAAGTAGAGCTATTGTAGTCACCCGAGCGTCGGCGTTGGCGTAACCACTTATGTTAAAGTTTTTGTAATAGTTCAAATATTTTCAAAGTCCATTGACATATGGCTTTGAAACTTTGCACACTTGTTCACCATCATGACCCCAACCTGTAAACAGGAGGAGGTAACTCTGTCAACCATTTTGACAGAATTATGCCCCTTTTTCGACTTAGAATTTACGTTAAAGTTTTTGTAATAGTTCAAATATTTTCAAAGTCCATTGACATATGGCTTTGAAACTTTGCACACTTGTTCACCATCATGACCCCAACCTGTAAACAGGAGGAGGTAACTCTGTCAACCATTTTGACAGAATTATGCCCCTTTTTCGACTTAGAATTTATGTTAAAGTTTTTGTAATAGTTCAAATATTTTCAAAGTCCATTGACATATGGCTTTGAAACTTTGCACACTTGTTCTCCATCATGAACCCAACCTGTAAACAGGAGGAGGTAGCTGTATCAAGCATTTTTTTTCTATCAAGCACTAAGAATAGTCGAGCGTTGCTGTCCTACTGACAGCTCTTGTTTTATGTTATATAAATATAGAAGGTGGTGGTCGTGTCTGCTCTGAAAGTTCAGTATGCATGGAAGGATTGTAATTTTTCTTTCACATATGAAATAACCATAGATGTATAGTGTGTCGTGAACAAGACTTAGGTTTCTACGACTAAGGTCAAGGTCAATGTGGGGGTTCAAACTTTGTCATTTTTTATGTTATATAAATATAGAAGGTGGTGGTCGTGTCCGCTCTGAAACTTCAGTATTCATTGAAGGATTGTAATTTTTCTTTCACATATGAAATAACCATAGATGTATGGTGTGTCGCGAACAAGACTCTGGTTTCTACCACTAAGGTCAAGGTCACTGTAGAGGTTCAAACTTTGTCATTTTTTATTGTCCCCCGCCTTTTCGAAGAAAAAAGGGGGATATAGAAATAGGCTCCGTCCGTCCGTCCGTCACACTTTTGTGTCCGGTCCATAACTTTGTCATTTATCAAAGGAATTTGAAATAACTTGGCACAAATGTTTTTTATCATAATAAGACAATGTGTCATGCGCAACAATCAGACCCCTACCTCCAAGGTCAAGGTCGCACTTGCTCATTCAAGGTCAACATTGTCTATTTGAGGGTGTATGTCGTGTCCGGTCCATAACTTTCTTAGCTATGAAGGGATTTTGTAAATACTTGCCATAATTGTTCACAATAATCAGACGATGTGTCATGCGCAAAAATCAGTCACCTACCTTCAAGGTCAAGGTCACACTTGGAGGTCAAAGATTTACATAGTCTGTTACAGGGTATATTTCGTGTCCGGTCCATAACTTTGTCATTTATCAAAGGAATTTAAAATAACTTTGCAGAAATGTTTCTTATAATAAGACGATGTGTCATGCGCAACATTCAGACCCCTACCTCCAAGGTCAAGGTCGCTCTTGCTCATATAAGTTCAACATTGTCTATTTGAGGGTATATGTCGTGTCCGGTCTATAACTTTCTTATCTTTGAAGGGATTTTGTAAATACTTGCCACAATTGTTCACAATAATGAGATGATGTGTCATGCGTAACAATCGGTCACCTACCTCCAAGGTCAAGGACACACTTGGAGGTCAAAGATTAATATAGTCTGTTAAAGGGTATATTTTGTGTTCGATCCATAACTTTTTCATATATCAAAGGATTTTGAAAATACTTGACACAAATAATAAGACGATGTGTCGTGCGCAACACCTACATCCCTACCTATAAGGTCAAGGTCACATTTCGAGATCAAAAATTAACATTGTCTGTTAAAGGGTATATATTGTGTCCAATCTAGAACTCCCACATAGTTCAAGGGATTTTGAAATAACTTGGCACAAATAGTCACAATAATAAGAAGATATGTCAAGTACAACACCTGCACCCCTACCTTCAAGGTCAAGGTCACACATAGAGGTCAAAAGTTAATAGAGTCTGTTATATGGTATACTTTGTGTCCCGTCCATAACTTCTTCATAGATCAAGGGATTTTGAAAATACTTGGAATAAATAGTCACAATGATAAGATGATATGTCATGTGTAACACCAGTGTCCCTACCTCCAAGGTCAAGGTCATATGTAGAGATCAAAGATTAACATAGTCTGTTATAGGGTATATTTTGTGTCCAGTCCATAACTTTTTTCATAGATCAAGGGATTTTAAAAATACTTTGCACAAATAATCACAATAATAAGTCGATATGTCAGGTCCAAATCATGGGTCCCTACCTACAAGGTCACACTAAGAGGTCAAAGATTAACATAGTCTGTTAGAGGGTATATTTTGTGTCCCATCTATAACTTCTTCATAGTTCAAGGGATTTTGAAAATAGTTACAATAATAAGACGATATGTCACGCACAACACCTGGACCCCTACCTCCAAGGTCAAGGTCACACTAAGAAGTCAGAGCTTAACATTCATTTTTATTAGTCCCCTACCGGTTTACCGGAGGGGACTTTAGGTTTACCCTCCGTCCGTCTGTCTGTCCGTCAGTCCGTATGTCCGTCCGTCTGTCAGTCCGTCCGTCCACAAAACTGGATCCCGCGATAACGCAAAAAGTACTGAAAATATTTTTATGAAACTTGATATATGGTTAGATGGCAGTATGGAAACTATGCACGTCTTTTTCTTTTCTTCCTATGTTGAAAATTCTGGTTGCTATAGCAACAAATCGACTGAAAATATGGCAAATTTTACACATAACCTGGATCCCGCGATAACGCAAAAAGTACTAAAACTATTTTTATGAAACTTGATATATGGATAGATGGCAGTAAGGAGATTATGCACGTCTTTTTCTTTTTTTCCTATGCTGAAATTCTGGTTGCTATGGCAACAAATAGACTGAAAATATGGCAAATTTTACACAAAACCTGGATCCAGTGATAACACAAAAAGTACTGGAAATATTTTTATGAAACTTGACATATGGGTAAATGGCAGTCTGGAAATTATGCACATCCTTTTCTTATCTTCCTATGTTGAAAATTCTGGTTGCTTTGGCAACAAATGGACTGAATTTCAAGATTTCTGATTCTAATTTTTTAAGTTTTTTCACTATAAGTTCTTTATTTCTTAAGGTATTATCTTCAAACTTTAAATATAAGTTGCTAGTCATCAACCACATCATATGTGACAAAGTTTACAACTCTAGCACAAAATTTATTAGAATTACCTCCCTTGAACTTAAAATTTTCATGAAAAAAAAAAATTGTTTTTTTAATAACTTCTTTTTTTCTGAATGTATCTACTTCAAACTTCATATATATGTTTCTTATTATCACTTAACATTTGTGAGAAAGTTCAATACTCTAGCAAGACTATTTCCAGAATTATGCCCCTTTTGAACTTAGACTTTATTTTGAGAAATTGGTAATTTTTACTTCAACTTCTTCAATCATGATAGGATTTTCTTCAAACTCCCACATCATAATAATATGACAAGGTTTATAAATCTAGCATCCATATTTCCAAAGTTATCTCCTCCTTAAACTTTAAATTTTTCTTATTCGTTCTTTTAACTTTCATTTACTTCAAATTAAAAAATAACCATTCTTTATTCATACGTTCATTACTAATTGTTCTTTGTTACACTCACATCAGGTATGACATCTTGCATCTTTATTTTAAGAGTTATCTCCTTTTTAAAAATTTTGCTTTTAAAAATGTTATATTTTGATAACAGGGATGTTTAAAAAATAACTGTAGAGTGTCCTTCAGTCCGTCTGTCTGTACATAAAAACTGTTTCCTGTGATCACTTTTAAAGAACTTTTTCAACAAATTTACTTAAAATAGAAACATAAGTGAATTGCCAATGGCCCTTCAGAATGTTGTTGGGGTTCTAACCGGTAGGGGACTTATGGATTGCTTGCAATACTATGATAATTGCTTGTTTCTTTAATAAATTTATTGTTGCATTTGCAGATCTAGCATTGATCATAATTTTGGACTGAAAATCCTTAGATCCATACCTCAATCTTTTGAAATAGCACAATTTTTATGCTTCATATAAAACTTCCCCGAGGCGGGGGACGTTGGTAACTCTGTTACAAATTCTTGTTTATATAAAAATAGATGGCGGTGGTCGTGTCCGCTCTGAAACTTAAGTATGCATGAAAGGATTTTATTTTTCTTTCACATATTAAATAACCATAGATGTATGGTGTGTCGCGAACAAGACCTTGGTTTCATTGATCAAGGTTAAGGTCACTGTGGGGGTTCAAACTTTGTCATTTTAAATTTTTATGTTATATAAATACAGGGTTGTCATTAAGAGGCGGCAGGAGGCCAAAATGCCTGTCTCAAATGCATTATGGGCCGCCTCAAAATTAAGAAAACACTCTTTGTTATGCATGATAAAGACAGAAATGACCGCCTCAAGTTCAAAACAAACCTTCTGCAAAAAATGTTAATGACAACCCTGTAAATATAGAAGGTGGTGGTAATGTCCACTATGAAACTTCAGTATGCATGAAAGGATTTTAATTTTTCTTCACATATTGATTAACCATAGATGTATAGTGTCGTGGACAACACTGGTTTCTACCACTTAGGTCAAGGTCATTGTGGGGGTTCAAACTTTGTCATTTTTTATGTTATATAAAAATAGATGGTGGTGGTCATGTCCGCTCTGAAACTTGAGTATGCATGAAAGGATTTTAATTTTTCTTTCACATATTAAATAACCATAGATATATGGTGTGCCATGAACAAGACTCAGGTTTCTACAACTAAGGTAAAGGTCACTGTGGAGGTTCAAACATGTAATATAGATATAGATGGTGGTGGTCGTGTCCGCTTTGAAACTTCAATATGCAAGAAAGGATTTTAATTTTTCTTTCATAAATTAAATAACCATAGATGTATGGTGTGTCGCGAGCAAGACTCGGGTTTCTACGACTAAGGTCAAGGTCAATGTGGGGGTTCAAACTTTGTCATTTTTTATGTTATATAAATATAGAAGGTGGTGGTCCTGTCCGCCCTGAAACTTGAGTATGCATGAAAGGATTTTAATTTTTCTTTCACATATTTAATTACCATAGATATATGGTGTGCCATGAACAAGACTCGGGTTTCTACAACTAAGGTCAAGGTCACTGTGGAGGTTCAAACATGCTATATATATAGATGGTGGTGGTCGTGTCCGCTCTGAAACTTCAGTATGCAAGAAAGGATTTTAATTTTTCTTTCATATATGAAATAACCATAGATGTATGGTGTGTCGCGAACAAGACTCTGGTTTCTATGACTTAGGTCAAGGTTACTGTGGGGGTTCAAACTTTGTCAATGGTCTTGTCTGCTCTAAAACTAATATGCATGAAAGGGTTTTATTTTTTTATTTCACATATGAAATTATCATAAATGTATGATGTGTTGCCCTTAAGACTAGTGTTCCTACGCTTTAGTTCAAGGTCACTGCTTGGATTTAAACTTTTTCAATATTTATGTTATATACATATAAATGGTGGTTGTTGTGTCTTCTCTGTAACTTCCATATACATTTTATTTAAAAAAAATATAAAGTCACCATAGACAATGTATTGTAAACAAGACCCAGGTTTCTTTGTCTTAAAGGTCAAAACTTTCTCAATTTTTACCACACAGCATGTAATAGGTGGTTTATAACTAGAATCCTTTGGGGGCATTTGTCTCTTTCTGTGACAGCTCTTGTTATCCCCCGCCGAAAAGGCGGCGGGGGATATAGAAGTAGTCTCCATCCGTCCGTCCATCCATTCGTCCTTCCGTCCGACATTTTTGTCCGGAGCATATCTCAAAAAGTATTTGAGATATCAACTTGAAACTTCATGGGTGGATGGATCTCATTGAGGAGGAGTGCAGTGCACAAGAATGATTACTCTACCCTGCATAATTTTTGAGTTATTGCCCTTTGTTATTTTTCAAAATTAATATTTGTCCAGAGCATAACTCAAAAAGCCTTTGAGATATCAACATGAAACTTCTTAGGTGCATAGGTCTCACACAGGAGGTGTGCAGTGCACAAGAATGATAACTCTACCTTTCAGAAATTTTGAGTTATTGCCCTTGTTATTTTTCATACTTAATTTTTCACCTGAGTGGAGCATAACTCAAAAGTGTTTGAGTTGTCAACATGAAATGTCATAGGTGGATAGATCTTATTGAGGAGGAATGCTGTGCGCAAGAATGATAACTCTTCCCTATATAATTTTTGAGTTATTACCCTTTGTTCTTTTTCATACTATTTTGTCCGGAGCTTTTCTCAAAAAGTATTTGAGGTATCAACTTGAAACTTCAGGTGAATAGATTTTACTGAGGAGGGGTTCAGCACACAAGAATATAATAACCTACCCTGCATTATTTTTTAGTTATTGCCCTTTGTTATTTTCAGCCATCAGTATTCATATAGGTTTTAATTCTGTAATCACTTCAGCCATCAGTTTTCATTACCAAAAGACCTCTTAAAATGGAATTATTCTGCTCTACTACATATACATTCTTCCAATGAGCAAACACATTCGGCAGGGGATGGCCATGTTGACATGGCTCTTGTTATTCCTTATTATAATTCTTATTATCACACCAGTCCTATAGAAGATAAACTTCTAGCTGAGTAGGTAGAGAAGGCCCTCAAACACCTCTTTGCATTAACTCAGTCATAAACAGTCACCTGGGTAAGACCACCAACATTGTACAAGCTTTAACCCTAAGCCTGTCCCCACATCATCTGGCACATCCCTGCCTTCTTATCATGGTCTGCTTTATTTGCAATGTAGTCAGTGAATTTTTTTTGTTAAATTACCAAGAAGTAATGAATGGTTATGTCCAGATTGAAAGATGGACAAGTAGTTTTAAGATATTTTGCAGGGTTAGGGTTGGTAAAGCTCAAATATGCAAGTACTTGAACATTAATTGCTAATAGTACCACAGGTATTTTATGAACGAATGAATAAAATGGTTTGGGTAGTAATAGCTTTTGAAATAAGGTATGTATAGATGTTGACTTTACTACATGGTGTGTTTTATGTTTTGTTCTACATTTATTCGACATGATTTGCATACAAACAGACGTAATCTGGGATGATAATATCAGCTGCGGCATGGCTGTCTGGTTAACATGTTGGTCTAGTTAGTGATCTAAGGATTGTTATCTGTTTAGTTCACAATCAGTCATGGATGAGTCATCGTTTCCTGGAGCAAGAAACTTTACACCCATTGCTCGGTACTCAGGTTCGTTCCCGGTACAGATTGGAGTGTGTTGACTTGTTCCAAGGATTTTTATATAAAAATGGGTTAGGAAGAAAGTGTTAAAGCATTAACTTCAATATTTCTATAGGAATAAAACACTCAAACAAAAATAAATTCTGTATAAACTTAACAACCGCGATTCCTAAATCATTCTATAGAGATATTTGTTACCTCGCTGTATTTAGATTCACTTTTTATCAATTTTCTAATTTTAGGCCAAATTCTATCCAGACTCGGCAGCAGATGCAAGTGATCCAGGAATTTGAGCAGTATTTGAAACCATTCCGTGTAGTCTATGCTTCAAGGTAACTAGTCTATTACAGTCTGTTAATTACATACATGGAAGAAGATGATTGGAATTTCATTGACTCAATCAAGGTTTTATATAAAAAAAGATCTTGTAATTCATCAGTAGTTATAAATTATATTGCTCCTCTTTTTAGAAGCAAATACTTTTTTTTTTTTTGGAATTGAGAGGTTTATTTATATAACACAAGGAGGGGTAAACATGTAGGTTCCCAAATGACATTTATTTGTGCTATAAATCTTAGGTTTAATGTTACCAAATGACCTTGTTCAATATTGTGTTCACAATATCAGCTTAGAGGCTATCAAATTGAAACTCATTTCTCATCTATACTGTGTTTATCTTTGAGTTAGTTTATATATGATTCAAATATAAAAGTGTTAACTATTTGTATTAAGTGAACTGTTGAATTGTGAATGAATTTTCAAAACTTCATGTATTACAGCTTTTGCAAGATGAATTAAACCAAGATTTTGTTTTATGTAAAACAATGAGTCATGATGAGAATAAAATTTGCATGGATTGTATTCCAGGAATAATTAAGCATGGATGCATGAGATTTTTTATTGTGAATAAATGCAATTATCTGATCTGTGTTTTGAAGAAAAAAATCTTGTAAACATTTCTTATCCTGTTTGCCATATTTTTTTCTATTTTAATAATATATTCTTTCTACATTAATGTACCCATGTTACTGTATTATGCATGAGCTATTGAAGTATAGTACATGTTTTTGTATTCTTTATGCTGAAGAATAGTTTTTGTAAGGTTTTTACATTAGTAACTTGCAGAAAAAAACAGAAATTACAGTTACTTTATTCATGAAAGAAATTTGGTTTATTTATGAAAGAAATTTGGTTTATGAAATAAATTTGGCTTATTTATGAAATACTGTTGCTTTATTCATGAAATACTTTTGGTTTGTGAATGAAATACTGTTTGCTCATTTATGAATTACTGTTGATAATTTCATAGAATACAGTTGTTTCCAAAAAATACACTTGTTTTCAAGAAATACAGATTTTTAAATATTATATACTGTTTTTTTATGAAATATTGTTAGTTAATTATTAATAACTTTTACCAACTTGAGCTAAACCCAACAATGAAAATAGCATAAGCAAATCAGAAATGCATAGGTAGTTTTTCTGAAATATGAACCCTTCATTAGAAAGCTAAAGTGCACTTTTTGTATGTAAAATGCCAGGAGCCCCTAAGGTGACATTTTTCGACACTTTTTTCCCGGCATTTAATTTGTTTTTACGAAATATTAATTCTATTTTTATGAAATATTAATTCATTTTTACGAAATATTCATAAATTCGTAATTACGAACTAATAATTTGTAGTTAATTTGTTTTTACGAAATAATAATTCGTTTTTACAAAATATTAATTCGTAATTACGAAATATTAATTCGTTTTTACGAAATAATAATTCGTTTTTACGAAATAATAATTCGTTTTTACGAAATAATAATTCGTTTTTACGAAATATTTATTCGTAATTACGAAATATTAATTCGTTTTTACGAAATCTTATTTTAGTTCATTGTGAGCTTGACAAAAAAACCTTCTTATCTCGCATTTTTAAGGGGTCATTTACAAGCCTGAATAAACCTTGCGATTATAAGCCGAATGGTTCTCAAGTTATTATATTTAAGTGACCAGGGTTTTTGAGTAAGAAGTCATTCTCAATCCAAAATATCCTCTTTTCCCCCATTGTCAAATACATGTTCTCATCAGCAATGTTTTAATTTTTGAGGTAATTAATATTTTCTGACATCAAAAAAGAAACATGCTATATTATAACTTTCTTTTTCATATGAGTTAGTAAACTGCAGATTTTCACTAATCTTATTAAGTTAAAAAAGTTTATTTCCTGACAATTTATGTATGGGCACCGTGCAATCATAAAAACAAAATATTTTATTTCAGAACTCAATAATATCAACAAAACAAAACAGAAAAAAAAAATGATCGTGTTTGGATTTGAAGCACAGGACCCCCATTTTAACAAAATATTCTTAGCGCATGTCACAGATTAATGTTTCGTAAATACGAATTAATATTTCGTAAAAATGAATAAAGTTCCAGGAAAAAACGTGTGGAAAATGTCACCTTAGGGGCTCCGTAAAAATGATATTTGGGACAAAAAAGAATATATTTTAGAAGATGTCTTATACTGATTTATGTGTATATATATATATGTATGTTTTTGATAATGAAATGTCTGGATTTCTGTGTTTATTTATAAGGAATTGCTGCCGGTCTCAATCTCCAGTGTTGGATTGGTTGACTTTAATTTGAAATAAGCCAATACGAGGATTCCATTTTTCAGATTTATAATGTTTAAATATTGTGTGTCACAATTAAATTCCAGAAATCATATAGGCCAAGGAAGGTAACTCTATAGAATTACAATGTATATAACTTAGAATATAGCATACAATAGATATACATATGTGTACATTACTCCTTTTTGTAAACTTTTTATCTTCACTATATTTACTTAAATGTATGTATACTTACATCCTTTTTGTTATTTATATAGAAGATATTGAATGCGTGTAAATTTTAATCCTTCATTTGTTTTGTTGAATGATTTTAATAAATTCAGTATTGAATCTACTCAAATGTACTATACTATTAATCACATATCCAAAAAAAGAATGGTTTAAAGTTAAAATGACTCATTATTCATTAATGTTAACATTTACTTGCTTCAACGCTATGTTTGTATATTGGCAAATGATGTCATGTCAAAGTGGTATTACACTAATGTAATATCGTTTTTATTATGTGAGTTTATTACATTCCTGCACAGCGGTTTATGTGATAGACATGTGTAAATTTGTAGCATTTAGATAAATTTCTTTGTAGTCACTTTTGTGTCTTAAATCTGTTATGAAATTTTAGCTTTTAAACTTTAAATTTTTTGTCTTTCTTCTTTTTTTGTTTCATTGGAACTTCTTAAATAAGAATATCTGGATGGGTTCTATTGGCCATTTTTATTCCTATAGAAAAATTGAAGTTAATGCTTTAACACTTTCTTCCTAACCCATTTTTATATAAAAATCCTTGGAACAAGTCAACTTTTTCCTCACTTCTCTGCTTCCTGTCCTATCCATACTCCTAAATAAAATAATAGAAATACACTGAAACAGTGACTCCAAAAATGGGTACAATTACACAATGAAAAAATTTTTTTTTTAAAGTATCTTAGATTGTCAATATTTTTGCATTTTTTAAATAGCCTATGTATAATGATACTATTTCAGAAACAGTTGTCCACAACATTATGTCTCCGTTTTTGAAATAGGTGTTTAAAATATGTACCTCAAATTCAAAGTTACGGGGGGCGTTAGAACGGCCGGGTACACAATCTTAATAAATGAATTGTTCAAAAACATGTTGTGATGCTATGTACAAACAATTTCTTATTTTACAGAAGATACACCAGGCTTATAGAATGTGATTTACGATGTGGTTTTCTAATGTGTATTAAGGTTAAACAAGCAATGCGTTTGAAAGAACATTTCTTTTATTTATTTTTTTCAGATCAAACATCGAAAGTTCACTTCTTGTTAAATGAAGGCGTTTAACTGAAACATTGTAATAACTTTTTTATACACACAATAAACATTTTGTCAAACACTGAAACGTTTTTCTATGACATTAATTCATACAACATTAAGTTTTAAACACTTTTACAGAAACATAACTTATCGTTATGGAAATTAGAAAAACATCAACATTCTCATATGACATTAAAGTGTAGTTCAACTGAACAAGGTATATTGTTTCATCATTTAAAATGATACAAATAACACTTGCAGATATTTGCAATGTTACAAGGGCATTTACTCGCTCTGTTACGGAGGTTAGCATGTTTCACTTTACACGTGATGTCCGTCTCTTTAACATTGATTATATGACGAAATATATCTTCAATCAGTTTCCTTTCAGCGATGATATCTTGTAACACCGTTTGGATTTCCCCGATAGCTGTAAACTGAAGAAAGGACCAATAAAACGCACTTCTTTTTACCCAGTATTTCATCACGGGTGATTGGAAATTTTGTAGGCCTCTCCGTATTTCCTGATTTTGTCAAAAAGTTTATTTTAGCATCATCATCATCTGAATCTGTTACCTGGCCGACATACCAGTCCCTCTCGTAAACGGCTGCCACCCAGTCGTTTATGGCTATGTTTTGCTCTCTTGATTTCTGTTGATGTTCGTCTTGTTGTATCTCAATGTTTTGTCGCATTACTAGCGTCATCTGTCAAGCTATCGCTCGTAGAACCACTGTCTCATCATCAGCATTTTCAGGCGCTACTTTCTTTACACTTTTTGTACATTAATGTATCGTCCATCACACTACCACTCGACGTAGTCTGACCAGAGAGGCATTTTCAACAATTAACTTCGATTTCTCGCAGTGCTATTTCTTCATGCTTTCATTCGGGCGAACTTCACAAGATCCATTTTATTGTGGCCTGATGATATGGCATGGCTTATTTCTTTCATCTGTTAGATTCCTCTCCAGAGGCTATTCATCCTTCATCAATCGATGATATCCAAAAAATATTTGACTAAATTAGCTAATATATCGGCTTGTCTATTCTGCCGAACTTTATGAATCTTTGATCTGATTGCCGTCTTTGCCTGTTTTACCTTTGGCTCTGCTGTCTTTTCGGCTGGCCCAAGGCCCATCACACGGCCTTTCTTTGCCTGGCAGTTTCTAGATACGTTCCATCTAGCACTCACTAAAAAAAAAACCAACTCTTCTGCTCGTGATTACAAGTATCTGGAAATATATGTATTGTTCGATACCTGTTGCAGTCGGTGATCTACGTTAAGGTAATAATCCTCTGAGTAGGATACTAATATTTTATCATGAATACAATTAATAGGCACGTGACAGTAAGACAACGCAGCTAGCGTTATGTATTTTTACGTTCTCTGACATGCAGGCAGAACGTAACCACTGGTGTCTTTCTTTTCTCGCCGTCTGCGTGGCAGATACTACAAACCAATTGTCACTGAAGCGTACCATCTCGCTGTTACCAAAATAAAAAGACGCTAATATGACTTCTTCTAGGCAAGTACAATCTTAGTCACGAGAAGCTCACTATCCGATTCATTGTCAGGCAGCTAGCACTGTCGGCGAACGACGCATATTACCCATTATTCTGACGTTACCACTCAACACGTGTTCACGAAAACGTCGAGTACTCATTCACAACAGTTGAGATGAACAGTCCTTTTGTCATCTTTTCTCTCTATTTCCTTTCACCTATACTTTTCTTCATCTTGTATCTTTTCTCCAGATCTTAAAAGTTATAGATTCTGCGTCATTGATACCGGATTCAAGAACACTCTTCAACTGATCTGTCTCTTCATATTTCTGTCAGAAATACATCAGGGTTTGCAGAACACTTTTATTCCAAGTCTCCGTAGGGTTTTAATTTCAGGGAGAAGTTCTGATGATATGTCTACAGAGGCAAGTCCTTCTACTTGCAAAGCTGGTGAGCAGTATGTGGCTCGGTCTCAGTTTGCAAAATTGGCTTTTAGACATTTTGGTTTTCTGGGTTTTCTAGGCAAAATTTTTCCCAAAGATTGTGCATATAGTCACTGAGAACATACTTTTGTCTTACGTCCTTTTCAACAGTTTTGGCTGTCCCGTTTTTCCTGGCTGAATAACAACTGTTATCCTCTCTCTCCAAGAACACTCTCACAGATTGTGCATATTTTCGTTTCAGTGAGGCACTTGGTCTTCGCACATGAAGATTCGTCATCTTCTTCCGGTTTACACCAGCTGCTTTCGATTAGACTGTTAATACATCTATTTTTTTCAGGATCTCAGCGGACATTCAGTGCTGTAGATGTTTTCAATTTCTTTTTCTGTGAAATACTTTCTTAACACTCGCTATTACGACGTTGCCTAGAAATAATTCTCTATGAACTGTGTTTTTACGCGTTGAATGTAACACCCGCTTTCTCAACAGAAACTTTGTCTTGGTTTTAGGCGTATATCCCTGTTCGGTGTTGTACAGTCACTGGAATCTAGAGACGAGCTTGACATGTCAGCCGAAAGAACTTTCGTCGGGGTTGTGTGAAGCTGTGCTTCTCTTTGACTTCTCCTTTGAAGTGTCCGCTTCTCCTTTTCCAACCGTTTGCACTTCTCTTGCATTTCATTGATTCTTCTGTATGCTGCACTTAATACTCGCCTATAAGTTTTCTGTACGCCCTTACTCCTTCCTGTTATAGGCAGCTTTACTATCAGTGCTTCCTGCGTCTTAGCTTTACTGTGTGTACTCGTTGAGGCACAAGGTTCGTTTACACAAGCTTTCTTTGCTGCTTTCTTCCTGTTGTAATACTTTCTAAATCGATCCCGATTGTCCTGCCTTCTTTGTTGCAGCATTTCACCAGACAGTTCACAGTGAGGTACATATGTAGCCATTTTCCTAGCATGCTCACCCTTCAAATAGTTTTCTCTATTCCTCTCAAGTTGTCGCTGTCGCCAACGTTTTTGTCTCTCAGCATTTGACAGTACCATTCTGAAAACATAGGAACAAAAGTTGATTAAAAGGATACTAACGTCCGTAACGTTTTTTCTAATTTCCGTAACGAGCACTTATGGCTAAATAACGATATAAATAGACAGTCATCGATATGTATCGTTGTGTAATTGTGATAAATATATAGTATTTTCATTTGTATTCCTTATGTGATATTTGTTAATTGCATAAAATTAATGCAGAGCATCTAAATGCACATGTGAAAATTTTACATAACTTCCGTAACGATTATAAACAGACTATATGACGGAGATTGCTAGAAAAACGGCATTTACTTTATGCATCGAGGTGTGAAGAATAATTACACAATTTTACCATCTTTTATTTGTACAACTATGAGTTGCTTTCTCAATAAAACAAAGAGCCATCAAAAAGTCTAATTACCATAACATTTTTAAAAAGGTGTACATATGTACATTTCAACTTTTAAATTGTCACTGAAAATACTCTGGAGCGTTTTTACGTTAATATTATTTATAAAACAGCGACAATCACATACATTTACTGGTAAATAATCTTCAAAGGAACATATTATATTTTAACACATACTTGGCGATGATGAAATCTCTTCATTGGTGTAAAGAACAGCGTCTTAGCAGAAGACAAGGCATCAACCGGATATGACGTGATCGTCCGGCTTAGTAAAAACACAAGCGAATAAGAATTATTCCAGAAAAATCGTCAATATTTTGACCTAAAAGAATTCGTTATGGATGTTAGATGTTACGCCCGTTAGCTTTTCTGTACTTTTATGTATCCGTTAAAAGACAAATTAGATTGGAATTACATCGAAATAGTATCATGGCATAAAAATGATGCCACAAAACTACGCGTGGTGTTAAAGTGTCGCAATTACGTTTTTTGAAAGAGAAAACTAACGTTACGGACGTTAGAATTTTCGCTGTTACAAATTCAAAATTTGAATAAGACTTTATTTTCATCGTCCTTTGAACAGTCTTATCCATAAAGTGTGTGTGTTTGTTTAGTATACTATTTAACTGACTGATTAACGATATTTTAGTTTTATTTGAACGTGATCTTGATTGATATATCAATCGTCACACCCATGTTACGGTAATTAGACATATTTCGGCGACGGGATTCAAACATGGGTCCACATTACGATTTTGACAAATGGCCACTTGCACATCAACTAAACCAAAACAGGATGATCCTGTTAGAGAAATAAACAGTTATTATGCATGAAATGACTAATAAACTATGACACAGGGACTTGATTTTATCTACTTTTATGCTGGCGACAATCCAAAATTGACCCTTCGCAAAACATTGAGAGCCACCATTTGTTAAAAAAAATATTCATATAGTTATGAAAATCGTTTCGCTTTTCGAACTTATGTGCTATTAATTCGAAACTAGTATTTATTCACACTAAGTGGTGAATTTTGGTGTGTTTATTTTGTCTAAATGCCGGCGACAAGTTTGTTTTGTAATTGTACCCATTTTTGGAGAGTCACTGTGATAGCATTTCTTTATCAACAAGGATTGTTCACATCTGCATTGATAAAGAGTTTATTTTGTATAGGATTTGTTTCCTTTCACACCAAAGCTGCTGCCTTCCCCTGCTGTAGTTCACATTCTCTCTTAAGTCCCATTCCAAATGTCTGCAAGTACAGCTTGGCTATAACATGGTCTCTTTTGATTGATAAACTTTTATACACCTGTGTTTTCTTAAAAATATTCATGTTTGATTGTATCATTATGTATATATAGCTACAATGGTATAGCTGTTATATTAATTGTGTTATTGTATCATGTAGAAAAGGTTTTGTAAGCCTGCTTAGGGAATTTATGAGGGAGACCATCAGACCTGTAATACAGGGGCTGCTTATTTGATCCTCAATGAAATTTTTTCTTGATCACATGGTCATTAACATGTACAGCCGATTCAGAAAACATGTGCATTTCGAAATTGGTCACTTATATCAAGAAATTGATTATTACTGGTTAGTAAAGAAGGATAACCAGCTAGGTTGAAAAAGTTTTTGGTTAATATTTCCAGGATATGATAAAACGTTGAGTAGATATTTCAAGATTGAGGTAGAAGGGTCAATGTCTGATCATGGTTGCTTGGCCCTGTTTTATATTCAGTTAGAATATTTTTCTCAAAATGATAAATTGTTTTGTCCTCATCAAAATAAGGACAATTTTATTAAAGATATTTTGTGTAGAAAGGGTTAATTATAGTGGTAATATTAACTTGTCTATGCCACTTAACTGGAATGTGTTCCGGTACATTGTCGTTCAGTCTGCCAACTCAAGCCACTCCAGCAGTGTTGGATGCTGAATTGTAGCATTTTGATATTAAATCCCTTTGCATAACATTGATCAAGATTAAACAAATAGTTAAAAAAATTTGTAGCAGGACAGATCCATTATATAAATATTGTTGAGGGAAGGAGCATTTTATTTTCTTAAATAATCTGTTTTGAAGTTTCTTGTATATCAGCTTGTGACAGCAGTCTGTTTCAAACTTGAATATTACTAAAAGGATTTATGCTTGATTTTATAGTGTTTAGCCATATTACAAATTTTGCATTCTGTAATACTAGGCATATTTTATAATCTCATCAAAATAATACTTATTATTGTAAATAAGTATTAGATCATGCAATTATTGGTTCTTTCTAATATAAAATCTGTTTAATTTCACAAGCATATAAGAAATAATATCAGTCTGAGCAGTGGTGTCTATTAGCTATTTGACACTCATTTGGAGTTTAGATGGGTACAAAATTGACCAGGAAGGCTATAGGCATCAAAACAAAAAACAGAGTTAAATAACTGATAAACACTGCAAGAAAAAAAAACATTAATAAGGGAGATCACTAACGCTATCTTTCAAATATTATTTTCCTCTCTGAATTTTCTAATTTGACTGTTCTTATCCTCCTCCTACTGTTGCAAAGGTTATAAACAAAACTTGTCTGTCAGATATTATTTGAGCATCATAAGTATGAAAAGAAAACAGATTGGAATTGAAAAATCAATAAAATGATTAATTAAATTTGCCTATGTTTATCCACATTATTGGATGGAGTACAATGTAAAAAAAAACAACCACATATACATGTAGTCCCTACATGTTAATTGTTTATAGGTCAATATTGTCTTCTTTGTGTATAATCATGTTAGAATATATCTACTGTTGAGTAACTTGTTATTATATTTTTTCCTATACAAATTTCATGTCAAACACAAGCAACTCTTGATTTTATTAATTTTGATAGACAGAAACTTATGTACTTTGATAGAAAAGTTATGATAACTTTTGGTACTGGTATTAAATTTTTAACATACCTATACACTTATTATATCAATTTAGTATACAGTTTTATATGCCATGGCAAAAGAGAGTTGAAAATTGTAAAATACATTAAATATACATGTATATTGAATATTTTTGTGTGCAAAAAAAAATGTCATAGATGATAGAAATTCAATATGTATATATTGACAAATACAGCACAGCAGTATGAGAGTGTGATCTCAATAATGATTTATTGTACTAATATATTTCATTACTTTTCTGTTGTATTGTGTACAGTATTATAGTAAAAATATATAAGGATCCATATAATTAAAGTGTCATTTTTATGAGTCTTTTGCTCACTTGGATTTAACTAGGCTGTATAACACTCTGCACTTTGAGACAATCCAATGTCACAACAACAGACTACAAATCCCAGTACAACACACCCTTCTGTTAACCCTATTCTGTTTGCATGTCTTTATCAAGAGTATGGAAGTTTGCATTCATCTAACTCACTATTTTTCTATTTATTTACAGACAAAAAGGCAGTCATGAGTTTTCTTTGCAACAATTTCTCAACAGACAAAGACATATACTACATGGTTATGAAGCTAGACGGTTGAAACATATACCAAAGGTGAATCTTGTTATATCATTGCAGACATTTCATACATAAAGCATTTATGACACTTTGGTTTTAGTCCAAAATAATTTCTCAGTAGAAATTTTTTGTTTTATGTACAGTTGGTGTGGCAGTATAGCATTTTCAACATAGAGTCAAATTGTTCTTCGTCTCTCACTACTGGTTCAGAAGTCATGTTTGTTAAGTTGTCAGCTGTTTATAGAGAAATAAGTCATTACTGGTTTGTTATCCAGGAAAAGTAGTTAGATGTCTGCTGAGATATGACTAGATATTTTATTCTCTCATAAAGTTTCACTGAATATGTGCACATTAAGGGTTTTGCATTATATTATCTCATGTATGCAAGTGTAAGGTCTTGTTGGATTTGAAAAATGTGGAACAGTGTTGCTTTAAAAAGATGAAATCATAAATCACAATGTCATAACAATTTCGGTATTTCAGATTATCTACACAGTGTGTGAAAGGTTATTGGAGTTAGCAAAAAAGGGCAGTTCATTACGACGTCAGTTCGAAAAAAATGCAACACCGCCACCGCCAATGAATAAACTTCAAAAAACTTTCTCTACTTTATCTCAAACATCAAGCAGCGAATCTAAAACTCCAGTGCAGCAGAGTTCATCAAAAGACTTGCTCACAAATGGAAAAAGAAGATACAAACGCTCTTTGTTAAGTGCACGTACCAGAACAAAGAGTATAAGTATGGAGGACTTGACAAATGAGAAGTTTTTATCCGTACTTGACGATGAAGAGTCTCTAGGCAGTTCAAACAGTGGTGTACTGATGAAGACGCCTGGGGCCAGCGATGAAGAAGATGATGATGATTCTATTATTTTTGGGAACAGCACTGTTGATTTAAAATCTTCAGTCATATCAAGCAGTAGAGCTGTTGGGAGTGCTAAATTGATGAGTCAGTCAAACGGGCGGTCAGGTTCTCCAGGGAGCGAGAATACTTCGGTAACAGGAACAACAAACTGGAGCATAGATCAGTCATTAATGACCGCCGATATGTCAGAGGACCATGTACAAGCTGTAGGTGTTGCTTTGTCTGCTACAAAAGTAGAAGACTATGTAAAAGACAGGGCACGAGATTTACAGGTATAGTAGGCAGATTTTAACATGTAAAAGTTCACAGCTGCTGTAATATATCTGTAGAACCAGTATAGAACCTGGGCTGTAGAGTATTTTGTTATAAAAAAAATTAATAATCAAAACTAAACTTTATATTCAAAATCTACCTTCAACCTATTTACAAATATTTAATTAGTCCTGTTATTACTTAATAAAGAATGAAATATCAAATAAGTGCCCTTGTTAAACTACATAGCATTTATCATTACTTTCATTTAATTAATAAGAAATTTGAAATCCAGTGCCAGTTAATAAAGCAAATGATGCAACTGAACCTATTACTTTGTTCTATGTGTTCTTATGTTGAAAACTGATATTTCTTAATAAAATAGCCTACTGATTAATATTAGAAAGAGAATACTAAGAATACTGTTTACAAAACTGTAGGGTGTAAGAAAACTACATAAAATTTGTAAATGTAATAAAACTTTTTCAGAAATCTTTGAACGAGACTGATAACTCGTGGACACAGCTTTCTACAGAAGGTGATGCACATGTTCTAGGTTTATTACTGTGGGATTGGCTGGACCAACTGAAGGTAAGTTTATAAACCTGTATTCAAACTGACAACATAGTCTCAAAAGAACATGTCATTTTTATACTGTAAGCAACATTTTATCTTAATTTGATGGAGAAAACAGCTCTTGATATATTATTCCATAAAGTGGGAAATAGTTTTCTGCTTAGCTCTTCTGTACCCTGTAAAAAATGTATTAATGAATATAATATTTACAGCTGTTTTCTCCCCTGAAATAAGGTTGATATACAGATTATATTACAGTTAATATGGTGTTGTGTGGTTACATATTGAGCATTTTTGCACCACATTTAGTTAGATTGCCTTTGTATGGTACTGTCAGTTGTATTATTTTATTTGAAAGGGCTTGAAAAAGAAATATCTTAAATGCTGTCAGAGAGACAAAGAATTTTAAAAAAGATACATAGAGAAAAGTGAGACACATCATTTGAAATCTGCATGTTTTGCGAAACTGTGAATTATAATTACAGTCCAACCCAGTTTATTCGAAGTGCCTGGGATTGAATATTTACTTCGAATAATCGGTGGGTTCGAATAATCGAAATCGTAATATTGTGATAGTCGAAAACTACTCCACTTTGACCAATCATAGCATAACTACCGTTTACAACAAACTTACTTCCTGTAATCAATTAAAAAAAATAAATATTAAAGAAAAGATGCGTAACAATTATTGTATTGACATTAAAGACATAAATACTTGCATTTTATTCTACATTATGTATCGTTTCGTTTCGCGCAAATCCTTGATAATGGCTGTGTTGTTACTACGGTATTTACAGCTAAACTCTGGTATTTTCGACTTGGATAAAGGCTCTAATGTAGCGTTAAAATTAATGTAAAAAATATTTTTTGAATGTTTTGACAAATTCACATTTCCAGTATGTTTGAAAATTATTGCTGTCATCTTCAAGCAATAACAGTAACAAAATCGGACACGGTGCATAGCTTTTCAATTTCGGTAATTAAAAATGATTAAAGAACACACAAAGAGTTATTATCATGATTATCTAAATACACGCATGACTGTTGATATTTTTCACAAGTCGACCGGTCAGCGAGTGGATCTGCGCCAATTAGTCTGGCTTCGAATAATAATTAAGGCTGGCTTCGAAAAATAGGTGTGAAATTCTTTCATAATTGTATAATCGGGACCAAAATTTTACTTCGAAAAATAGGAGGTATTCGGATAATGCATTTCAAATAATACGCTCGTATTTATATTGATTTATATAGAGATATAAACGGGACCGCTGATCTACTTCGGATAATGCCGGGTATTCGAATAAAGGGTTGTCGAATAACCGGGGTCGGACTGTATCATCTTTGATTTGAGTAAGGATCATAAGAGTTTGAGAAATAACAACAGTGTCTAAAGTTGATGAAGTGTTATATAATCTAATGATGAATGTAAAATCTAGTTACCAGTTAATTCTTGTCTTTAACAGGAGCCAGTTTTAAGGGTTCAAGATCTTTCTATACTTCTGAACTGGATAGATGAACCACTCATTGGGGTGCAGAAAGTTGAAAGGGTAAAGTTACCAGCAATTAATAATTATGTTCATTATTTTTTCATTCATTTTACTCTTTGGTAAAGTTATGCATAAAGGGAAAGTCAATGTAAGAATGAAAAAAATATATCAGAAAAAGAATACTGTAAATGGTAAATCTGCAAATTTCCTGCATTCAAATAATGATATTAAACACTTGATAACAAAATTTAAACCGCTAATTCACTGATTTCTACAAATCAGTAGGCCCAGCCATGTTTGTGTATTGGCAGTATAAAAACAGGGGCGCGTGATGTCATAAGCCAACATCTTTAGATTTACAAAAATGTAATTGTGACATTGTAGCGAAAGATAAAGATATTATAAAGTATTGACCAGACAAATTAATTTTAAAAAGGATGTGTATGGAAGAAGTTATTTTTGGTTCAAAATGCGAAACAATATCCAAAAAAAATAAAGAAACAAATAAAAAATCAACGGTCTACGAGCACCGATCGCACCACTTCAGACTGAGTGATGCCCTTTATTCCAAACAATGCTACGTTCATTGAAGTCTCATTTTAATGTAATTAAACACTATTTCACATATTAAATAAATACATGTGTTATTAGTTAACAAAGTCTCACAGTCAATTTATGCAATTAAATAAACAAATGCACCAACAAATATATAATGGCCTGTTAATGATTGAATGGCGATAATAAGCATTATTATCATGAAAATCCTACTAAAAAGTTTTCTTAATAGTAATTAAATTCTTGTACTTAATAGTAATTAAATTTTTGCAATTTGATTCTGTACTTCAAATAAAAGGTGTGGATGTAGATTATAATTGATGTACACATTTCAAAACTATAAGCAACTCTTTTGAAAAGTAAATTGTATGCAGGTGTGTCGATGAGAGGTCAACCTTGCTGGGTCGTATTTATTTACATCTGGAACTTTATATAGTAATTGATGGTATTTATAATAATGTTTCTTAATACTGTTTCACTGATTTTTAGCTCAACTATTCGCAGAATAATCGAGCTAATGCAGTCACCCATTTGTCGGCGTCAGTGCCCCTGTGGTTAAGTTTTTGCGTGTAAGCTGGTATCACCATAACTACTGAAGGGGATGGATTGAAACTTCACACACTTGTTCTCTGTGATTATCTAACATGATTGGCACAAGCCCCATAACTCTGACAAAGTGGGGAGCATATAGCGTTGCACTTGTCCGTCCGTCCGTACGTCTGTCCGTGTAGATGGAAGTAAAGGAAGGAATTTTTGCTGCGACCAAATTTAACATAATTATGGCCCTTTTTTTTGTTTCACTATATACCATATATATGTTGTCAGTGGGGGCATCCGTGTCCTTTGGACACAGTTCTAGTTTTGCATAATTATGCCCCTTTTTCGACTTAGAAATTCTTGGTTAATTTTTTGCTTGTAAGCTTGTATCTCCATAACTACTGAAGGGAATGGATTGAAACTTCACACACTTGTTCTCTGTAATTATCTAACATGATTGGAACAAGTCCCATAACTCTGATTTGCTTTTTTGCATAATTATGCCCCTTTTTCGACTTAGAAATTCTTGGTTAAGTTTTTGCGTGCAAGCTGGTATCTCCATAACTTCTGAAGGGAATGGATTGAAACTTCACACACTTGTTCTCTATGATTATCTAACATGATTGGCACAGGTCCCATAACTCTGATTTTTTTCTTCTTCATAATTTTGCACCTTTTTCGGCTTAGAAATTCTTGGTAAAGTTTTTGCTTGTAAGCTGGTATCTCCATAACTACAAAATAAAAGGATTTATTGTCAATTTGAAGGAGTTTCTCTCTCATTTTAATTACAGTACCAAAATTAAATTGACCAAATAAATCAAATGATTTATCTTTGAAAATTAAGCAGTCATTGCTTAAATCATATGGTCAGGAATCATCGGCAAGCTTGATCATCAAACAAATGTTAAAAAATGTTGAGGTGTATTTGATTAATTTATTAAAGTATTTCAGTTCAATACGATGTTTTCATACACTTTATTGATTATAATATATTAAGAAAAACTTTAACTGAAGATACAGGTAATTATAGAGTTAATGCAACAACCATCCATTACTGGAGAAAAATTTCAATTTGACAAAGTATCCATATCAAGACAGAAACATGTGATAATTTCAGTATCTACATATGCTTCTTATTAATATACCTTTGGAGACAAAAAATTGTCGACTTATTTTTGTAAAATCATTTTAATACATACATGTATGTGAATATAATGTACATAGGATAATTGGATAAAAAACCAACACAAATTAAGTATCAAAACATGTTTCGCTTTATTAAGCTTCCTCAGTTGATACATATATAAAAATGACGTAAACGTACAAAACAAACGTCTACGTTAATAGACGTTACATTTGGCGCGTAAAAGGAACGTGATAATATTGCAATAAGTATTAAAATAAAACATGTGCATATGTATGTATAAACGTAATTTTTTTTAAAACATAGCATATATAATTTTCGAAAAGAATTACATAAAATAACTGGATCAAAAGATACATATATTTTCATAGAGAAACTAGGCTAGTAAATAATTACAACAAGTATGAAAACAACAGTTACTTATGTGAAAGTTTAGAATTCGAAAAAAATGTGCTTTAATCACATAATAAGATTAATTAGTTGTTAATCAAGATATATTTCTGTTGTACCAGTGTGTACACCTTCTATACTGTAAGTGGGTGTTATACATCATAATCTCGGTCTCGTCTGTGTCACACGAAAGTGAAAGAACGCCAAAATGGCAGCGCCCATGAACTTATTTCTCAAGTTAAAAATATGGTCTTAAAACACGAATTTTTTAGTTATATGGTTGATTTCAACAGAAAACTGTCATGGTACCTCTTTATAAAGCATAAATATTTATATGAGACAGACATCAGTCTATCCGTTCCTATTCCTTTAAAGGTTATCAGTACAGTCATCTGGAGTGTTTGATCACAAGCATAGATTTGAAGTTAATCAGTAGTATTTTTATGCTTCCTGAAAAATTTCAGGGGAGCATATAGTCGTTTGGTTGTCTGACAGTCCGTAGAAATGATCACCATATTGAGACGATGTGTCGTGCGCAACATTTGGGTTGTTTTTACACTTTGAACTTTGTCTGTGACATAACACTGACATTACAAGAGGTATACCTTCCTGTGTCCAAAACCTATTTTGGGGATCATCACCCGGTTTAACAGGCTCTTGTATTGTTTTATTTCATTATGAATCTGTATTCAATTTCTGATTGCAAACTATTAAACCAGGGATCTACATGGACCAGCAGTTTAAGTTGGTGACTTCAAACCACTTTCCTTAACTGCTGTGGGTTTGAATCCTTTCTGGGACTTTGGATTGTTTTATGTGAGGTAGCTATTCACGTAGTTCTACGTAGTTGCCTGTCTTAATAGTGTTGGAATTACCCAAGTAAAAAAAAAAGAATACCAAACAAACAAATAAAACCTGTTTCATATGTATGTTTATGTATATTTCAGGGGACTAGACATACTATAGAATACCTGGTGAAAGTGATCTCTAAGCTGAAACCTTTAAATGAGCAAACTGTGTTGAACCTGTATGAGAAGCTACTGTCTCATCTCACACATCAGTGGGTATCTTATGACAGCATAGACTTGAACTGTACTTGGGCAGTCGTTAATATGAATAGTCATTTATTGGAAGAAAAGGAACATTGGGGTGTGATGAAAACAGAGGAGGCCGAAAAATTGTTTCAGTTTTTTCATAATCTTCAGACAGAACTGTCCGCGAAACATAGAGCATCAAAAGAAACTTTAAATGGGAATGGCTCAGGTATGGAGAATCAGGCATGAAGAATGGAAATCTCATCATATGTTGACAATAGGATTCTGCTTTCAGATTGGGAAAGTCTACTGGGAATGGGGGAATGGTGTATTCTTACTAACTAGATCACAATTTTTTATCTAACAATTGTAGTAATGAAGACAGCAACATTTGTTTCTAAATTAGACTACTGTTAGGAAAAATTACTTTCTTTTTTATAGATCATGATACAGACTTTTCTGCACATATACATCATTGATATTCTGGTCCAACAAAATTCGAGAAAGTCTCAGGAGTGCAATCCAGGTCCTTTTTGACAAACACAAGTTTAAGTTACAGACCTGTATATATAAGGTTGTTTTGTCTTTGATGTACATTCCTTCTTCATTTTATAACTGCTTTTTAAATTTATAATGTTATCATATTTTAATGGGTCTATATGAACAAAAAGTAAAACTGGGGGCCATGATCAGGATCCAATTTTCAATTTTAAACATTTTCCACTGTTAATAATCTGAACATGTTATGTATTTGAAGTAAAATTGATAATAAAGAATAATTAAGTACATTGTTGGAATTCAAAATTTTATAAAGAAAAAATAAAAATTAAAAAAATATGATTAAAAAATTGTGATTTGAATTTAATAAATGAAATGCTTATTTTTTTTTCTAAATTTTAATACTGACCTAAATACTGATCATTAATTATGCCCCCACCAAAAAAATGTTGGGGGGGGGGGGGTGTGGCTATTATGGATTCGCTTTGTTGCGTCGGTCAGTCAGTTGGTCCGTCCGCCTCCATTTTCGTGTCCGCTCTATAAATCCTATACCAATTGAAGGATTTTCTTCAAACTTGGCTCAAATGTTCACCTCAACAAGGGGATGTGCAGAACCCATGTTGCCCATGTGTCAGCTCAAGGTCAAGGTCACAATTGAAGGTCAAATATCAAACAATGAAATATTAGACAGTATGTCGTGTCCGCTCTGTAAGTCCTACACTAATTGAAAGATTTTCTTCAAACTTGGCTCAAATGTTCTGTATTGCATTTTAACAAAGTTATGCCCCTTTTTAAGTCTTCAAATTTACATACAATCAAATATTAGACAATATGTAGTGTCCACTCTACAAATCCTTTACTAATGGAAGAATTTTCTTCAAACTTTACTCAAATGTTCACCTCAACAAGGTTATGTGCAGAATCCATGTTACCTTTGTGCTGGCTAAAGGTCAAGGTCACACTTGAAGGTCAAAAATTGACTTAGAAAATGTTCTTAGATTTTAACATGTACTTAAATATTTCTGAAACTAGCGCAGGTATTTGCTTGAAACTTAAAATATATATGAGGTGTCACAAATAAGATATGCAGGTCAAGTTTCATAACTCTGTATTGCATTTTGACAAAGTTATGCCCCTTTTTAAGTCTTTAAATTTACATACAATCAATACTAGACAATATGTTATGTCCGCTCTATAAATTCTATACTAATGGAAGGTTTTTATTCAAACTTTACTCAAATGTTCAACCCATCTTACCCTTGTGCCAGCTAAAGGTCAAAAATTGACTTAGAAAATGTCTAGTTCATTGGGAAAATGAAAGGTTATTTGTAACTGTTTCGAACATGATTTGACAATATATATTTATACTATTACCTGTACAATTAGCCTTTTTTTCACCATAGATAATTTCTTTTTATGTATATGTATTTGTGCCACTAAAGTTATTCCCTTATTTCCAAGTCGTCTTCTGTCAAGGACATTGGTGGGGGTATGAATCCCATTCAGCGATAGTTCTAGATGCAATTTGTATTTTTGTTTAATAATTTTACCTAAAAAATGAGATCATTTCAAAGCAAAATAATCAGTAGTAAACTTTTTTCAAGTTACACATGTTTTAACCTAAAACATTTATAATTACATGAAGTTGCTCTAGATTCATGCTTATTTTCATGAATAATATTATATTGAAAATGTATTTACAATCAAAGTATTGTAAAGTATAGTTTACACATTCATTCCACATAAATTACCGAAAAGAGGACAAAATATGCAATATTAACCCTTACTGTGTGAGTCACACTGTCGAAATACGGTGATAATTGTTGCAAAATCAGTCATTATTGCATACAACTTGAATCAGGAGTATATTTACGTTCCTTAAAATCTTAGCATTTTTTCTTAAAGGTTTTCTTGATTTTTTGGCTCATCTGGAGGCATGCAGCATTAATATGATAAAATGAACTAATTGTCCTGTATATATAAATTATCATTATCAATGCTGATATTAGATGACACTATTTTTGTGAAACAATGCTCTGTTTTCACCAAGTTAAAATTAAGAAATATTACTAAATATTAAACTTTATTTTTGCAGTGTCAAAATATCTATTTCAAACTTGTTTATGTTGAAAAAAAAATATGGCTGTGTCATTAAGGACTGTTTGTGTTTTTGAAAGAATGTATACAGTTTCTTTTTCAAAAATGTTTGTTTTTAATGTTAGATTTTCTAATATGGTGCCAAGTTATATTCAGCCAATTTGCTATTTATCTGTGTTTGATGCTTGTTAGCTTGTTAGTTAATAATTGTGATGTTTTAAAATGTCAAACTATGTCTAACAATGTTTTAAGTTGTTTTATATTTTTTTGTTACTGTCAACAGTTTGTATGTTAAAAAGTTTGTCCAGTTCAGAACGGTTACTGTTACTATCATAGTCATTAAAAGTATTTTGAACATAAAAACTCATACAATTTAAATTAAAACGATATTATATCTATCATAACATTTTTGTCACTTAAAGTTTATTTAGTTCTATATCATTGTTCTTGATGTGACAAATATTATTGTTTTAGAATTTAAAATCTGATACATATGTACTTGACATTGACATATTCTAACTGCAATATTTTACTGTCAATAATTCTTTATTCAAATATAAGATGTCCTTAAAGTCACAAGATTGTTGATAATGAAATGAAAATCCTTCAGAATAGAATTCTTCTACATCTAATAATTGTTTCTGTCAATATATGCTGTTAATGATTTGTTGCTGTAGAATTTTAAGACAGCCTTCACTTGCCACATTTACCGAGTATCAATAAAAAAATTGTAAAATGGTTAAAACATTATTAAAGTACAACAGGATAGTATGAAGAAATAAAAGGTTCACATGTGCTATGTATTGTGTACAGATATCAACTTAAACTACATTATAGTAAATTGTTGATGAGTTTTTTTTGTTATTGTTGTAACCACATTAAGATTAATTCAGTATCAGTTATTGCTACATGATATGATACCAGGATTAAAGAAATTTTACAGTGCTTTTTTTTTTTTTTTACTTGATAATATATTATGATATTTATTTGATTTTTCAACAGTCGTTCAAGAGTTGTTGCTCTTGAATAATTTATAAGTTGGGTAAGGTATTGTTTAATATTTATCTGCCGTACCTGTTAGTCACATTTACATGTCTTTGTTTTATATTTTATTATATTAGACCTAGTGTCTATGTTTGATGATTAACATTAAGGCACACTTGCCTGAGTTTTGTTATTTAATTATTTAATTTCCCTGTTGTTTTGTAAAGGGAGGATAATAAATGTTGAGCATGTTTGTATATGAAGTTTAACATGTTACTTGTTGTAAACATTGTAATCATGTGTTGTTTATGTACACTCTACTGCAATATTATAAAATTGTTTTCATTGGCTGTTCTACTCACCCCAGCATATTTTTTTGTAATATCATGTCTCATAATAAGTTAGAGTATTCACTTGAAACTCTGCACATGTGTTTGGAACATAAAGTAAGGTTACTATCCAACAACAGTTACTCTAGCAAAGATATAACTGAATTATGCTCCTTTATGAATTCTAAAAAAATCCTGGTTTAAGTTTTGCATGTAAGTACTATCTCCACCATGTATTCACTAGTACTATAGTAAATGACTTTGGGATAAAAAGTTTAGATCATTGTCTACCCATATCCCCAGAATGTAGTTTTACTTATTTATTCCCCTTTTTGAACTTTTAAAATTCTGGAATAGCTGGTTTTTTGTATGTAAAGCATTGAGAAAAGTCAAGAATCTTGTGACAGCACTTGATAATGAAATATAATCAGCATTTCAACAGATAATTTCCTGACATGAAAAGTGTGAAGTATAAATAATCAGGTTTTAAATGAACTAATTTTTTTTTCTGTTAAAAAGTTGCTGTGCTTGATGTACATGCATATTTATTCATGTTCTATGTGTCTTTTTTTGCTCTTTCTTATACATGTATGTAATGTATTTTTTAGCTCGACTATTCAAAGAATATGGAGAGGTATTCTAGTTGCGCGGGTGTCTGCGTTGGTTAAAGTTTTTTGTTAAGTCAAATATCTCAATTATTGCTTGAGATATTCATTTGAAACTTACAATACTTATTTATAGTAACAATGTACATCAGATTGACAAGTTGGATAACTCTGCCTACAATAATTACAGAATTATGCTTCTTTTTAACTTAGAAATTTTGGTTAAAGTTTTTTGTAAAGTCAAATATCTCAATTATTGCTTGAGATATTCAATTGAAATTTACAATACTTTTTTATAGTAACAATGTACATCAGTTTGCAAAGTTTGCATAACTCTGCCTGCAATATTTGCAGAATTATTTGCCCCTTTGAAATTTTTGTTAAAGGTTAAAGGTCTTCAAAGATATTTACTTGAAACTTTAACACATGTACTTAGGTCATAATTGAATGGTCACATCAAGATTCATTACACTGCCATGTATTTTGACTGAATTATTCACTTTTTGTACTAAAAAAATCTCCTTTTCTTGGTTAAGTTTAACATGCAAATTTTTGCATATCTCTGAAACTATTAAAGATACAAACTTGAAACTTCATATGTATATTTGTGGTCATAAATAAATGATCACTGAAACAGCACTCATATCTGTGTCATGTATTTAGGCTGATTTATCTCCCCCTTTTTTACTTAGTCTCTTGGTTAATGTTTACATGTAAGTTTTTAAAATAAATAATAAAAACCCTTTTGGGACTTTAAAATTGGCAGGTTGATTGGTCATAACAGATACCTATTGATTTTGGGGTAAAGGTAATACATTGACCTTGTTGTTAAAAACCTTTTGAAAATAATAAAAGAACCCTTGGCTAGGAAAATTCCCTTGCAGGTGATTGGTATGCCGCAGATGATTTATTGATTTTGGGGGAAAAGGTGCAAATCAAGTCCAATTTTACCTTTTGTAGGTAAAATCTTTTTTGATAATTAACTAAAAAGTTAGGCCTGGAACTTCAAATTTTTTAATGATTGGTCTGAAAAAATGCCCCCCTTTTGGTTTTTTGGGTCTCAAATAGGTCATGACAAAAGTCTTAAAAAATTAAATTTTGTTTGATCACGGGTTTAAAGAATCATATAACTTTAATATAATTCTCTATAGGGGGCATAATGTTTTACAAAACATATTTTGTTTAAAATTACATACGTATGCATTTGGGGGTATAATTTTTAGGTATGACCAAACCCAAAATTTCTTTTTTGTTTTTGGGGCTGTTTTTTTCTCCCTTTTTAAAACTTAGAAAATTCATGGTAATTTTTTTCTTTAAGGTTTTCCATAATAGAAGGTTTGTCCCTTTTTTGGGGAAAATTTTTGCATTAAAATAAAAAAGCATGAATTACTTATAAAAAATTTTAATACCCTTTGTAGCTTTTGGTCTTTTTTATATTCATAGGAAAAGCATTATTATTCTCAAAAAAACCCCCTTGTGAAACTTTTTTGAAAGTTAGGTTACTGCCCCCAAAGTTCTTGTTAATGTATTGTTGGGCTCATTACGTAAGGTTTTGGATCGATGATTGTCCTTTTGGGTGTCCGTTAATTTTGTTGTTTAAAACTTAGCGGTCCATTTTTTCTCAATCATATCAAACTTGGGCAGGATGCTTTTAGTTTATGTCGGATGATTCGAAATGGGGTTCTTTGGATGAAAAAGTAGGTCACCGGACTAAAAATAGAAAAATTTTTAACTCTGCGGCATTTTTGCATCAATATCATCAAAATGGGGGATGTTTTTTAGTTTTATAGCTGGGGTGAGTTCGAACATGGGTATTCGGATTAAAAAGTGGTCCGGGGTAAAAATAGAAAAACCCTTTTTAACTCCTGTAATTTTTTTCATCAATCACATAACTTGTCAAAATGCTTTTCTGGTGTATGGATGAGTTGAAAATGGGTCTTCGAAAAAAGTGGTCACTGGAGCTAAAAAAAAACCCTTGTTAATCTAGCGGTACTTTTTTTCATCAAATTCAAAAATTGGTCAGGATGCTTTCTAGGTGTAGTCGGATGAGTTCGAAAATGGCTTCGGATGAAAAGAGGGCATGGAGCTAAAAAAGAAAAACCCTTTTTAAATCTGCGGCCATTTTTGCATAGTCTATCAAATTTGGGCAAGATTTGTCAGGGGAAAGTCGATGAGTTCGAAATGGGGTTTTCGGATGAAAAAATTGTACCGGTAAAAAAAAAAAACCCTTTAACACTCTAGAGGTCACAATTTTGCTAATCATATCAAAATTGATCAGGGTGTTTGTCTGTGATGCTCGATGAGTTCGAAATGGGTCTCTGGGAAAAAATGGTAAGGGGCAAAAAAAAAAAAAACCCTTTTTAACTCTAAAGGGGCAAAATTTTTGCTCAATCATCATCAAACTTATCAAAATGCCCTTTTCTAGGTATATCGGGTGATTGAACATGGGGATTCGGAAAAAATGGGCACCGGGTAAAAAAAGAAAAACCCTTTTTAACATCTGTGGGGCACAATTTTGACTCATTGTCATAAATTGGTCAGGAAAATTGTCTAGGGCATTGCTGGAAAAAAACGAAAATGGGTTTGGCTGAAAAAATGGTACAGGAGCTAAAAAAAGAAAAAATTTTTTTTTAACATCTAGTGGCTCTGGGTTTTATCAAAAAATTTCGTTAAATTGTCTGAAATTTTTTTGATGATTTCTAAGTCAAATTGAAATGGGTATCTTTGGGTGAAAATAGGTCCAACCCCCAATATGGAAAAAATTTTTAAAATTCTATGGTCCCTTTTTGACTAATTTATAAACTTGGTCAGGATGCTTGTCTAGGGAATTGCTTTGGGTGAGTTTGAAATCGATGTGAAACTAGGTCACCCGGGGTAAAATAGAAAATTGTTTTAAATCTAGTTGCTATGTTTTGTCCCGTATCCGGAAATTTGGCTAAAGTTTTTTTGATGATTTTAGGTAATTTTTAAAATTTGTCACCTGGGTAAAAAATGTGCTTCAAAAATGATAAACCCTTGTTAACATGAGGGGAATTTTTGACTCCTTTATGAACTTGGTAAATGCTTGTTAGGTAATTGTTTTGGGGTGAGTTTGATAAGTCAGGGGAGCGATTAGGGCCCTCATGGTCTTGTTTAAAATAAACCAAACAAGGAATTTTTTATAATAAATTTGGGAACTTTTGTTAAGACTAAGAAACTGAGTTAGCCCTTTTACCTTTATTAGTTTTATAAAATTTTTGAGATTTTTTTTTAGACAAAAAATTTAAAAATTGGAGAAGTAAAGGGAAAAATTTATGTAGTAAAAAAAAATTTTTAAACCCTTTTTTCTGATAGAAAAGTATAAAATTACCATAATGTTTTTTGAGCCTCAAAGCATTTAAATCAAATTTTAGAGTAAAAAGGTTTAGTTCAAAATGTATTAAAAAAATTTTTAAAAAATAAAAATTTTGAATTTCGAATAAAAAGGTTTTTTGATTTTCCCCTTTTTTATATGTTAAAAATAATATTGTATATGCTTATCTGTCCCTTAAAATTTCTTGTTTTCTTATTTTGTCCACTTTTTTTAAATTTTTTTTGTGATATTAGAGTAAAAATAAAATTAAAAAATTCAAAATTGTGCGCAAACAAAAGTTTTTGTTTTATTTTTGTTCATTAAAAATGATTGTTTTTTGTCTAAAAAAAATTAAAATGATCTAAATTGTTTTTTGTTGTATTTTGTTGGCATATTTCCCAATTTGTAGGGGTTTTATTATGCAAGAATATTTTATATGTGTTCATATCTTTAAATTTTTAGTTAGAGGAATTTTTGCAAGGAATTAAAAAAAAAATTTCTGTTTTTTTTGAAATTTGAGAACGAAGTATTTTTCTCATTTAAAACAGAAAAAGGGCCCCCAATTTTGCAAAAATGTTTTTATAAAAAACTGACAAATCTCAAAAGGGGAAATTTTTGAAATTTTCTGGAAGATTAGTCAAATCAATGAGAAATTAGTTTCCAAAAAAAGGTTTTTTCCTGTTTTTTCAAAACAAAAAAATTATTTAAAAAAAAAGTTTGAAATGCAAAAACCCACAAAATGGCTTGGGGTTTGGGGAAAACTTTGTGAAAATTTTATAATACTTAAAAAATATAGGAGAATTGACAAGTAAATTTTTCATAATTTCCTGCCCCCAAAACATTTTTAATATAAGACTAATTTTCTTTCAGACCCAATGACAAAAAAAATTGGGACGGATAAAGAAAGGTTGAATTCAATATATGCTAACTTTTCAAAAAAGACAATTATTTTGTCGGAAAAAAAAACTAAAATTTCCATGACCAAACAAAACATAAAACTATATTTCATTGTTTTTACGTGTTTTCTGAGAGGATTTTAAAATAAACTTGCCAACATAACAAAAGCCCGGTTTAACAGGTGATGCTCCCTAATAGGTTTTTGGACAGGAAGGTAACTTGAGGTAGAGTTATGTCACAGACAAAAATCAAAGTGTAAAAAACCAAATGTAATGTCGCGAACCCTTGTCTAAATATGTGATCATTTCTGTGAAATAGTTGTAAATGATTCAAAAAACGAGTAAGGGGCCCGGCCGATTTTTGATCCAAAAATGCTGTGCCCCAAATTTCAAGGTAGCCCCCCAAATGTTGGGCGACACTTGTCTCAATATGGTGATATTTTTGTGAAAGTTGTAAAATCCTCTTAATAAGAATTTAAAGGGGCTGGAAGTTTTTGCTGAAGGCTGTGTGATTGACTTCAAATACGCCCCAAATGTTGAGCGTGACCATGTTCATATGGTGACATTTGTAAAATAGGCCCTTTGGTTTTAAAATTTTCCCCGGACTTCCAAATAACCGGGGAAAAGTTTTGGTTTCCCGGAAAAAAAACCGAAAAAAATTTGAGGGCAAGGTCATGCTTGCCCTTGCCTTTCAGGTAGGACCCAAATGTTGATGCGACAAGACATTCATTGGTGATCATCTCTGTAAAATAGTTGTTAAACCCAACATAAAGTAAAAAAGTTTGGAACATGATTTTCCCCTAAAAGGTCGCGTCCCCTTTACTTAAAATTAGCCCCCAATGCTGCCAGACACGTGCCCAATATGGTGACATTTCTTTTAAATATTTTTAAAACCCGTTAAAAAGATGTTAGGGGCCGGAAACGATTTTGTGAAAGGTCATGCTGTGACCTTGCTTCAAGGGGGCCCCCCAAAAAGTGTCGCGACACGTATTAATATGGTGATTTTCTGTAAAAATGTTTTAAAATCCGACTTCAAAAAACAAAGTTGGGGGCCCCGACAGTTTTTGTTCAGGGTCATGCTGTGATTTTGACTTAAAAGTAGAAAACCCAATTTGCGCATAAACCTCGCTCATATGGTGATATTTCTTGCATATTTTTAAAAATTGCTTCAAATTGAATTTAAACCCGGAAGTTTTGTGAAGG